ACATATGAGAGGCTTCCCACACCATGTTGCAAGGGCCCCTTGCAAGGTATTACACTCTTCAGTTCATCTTGAAGTCTGTTTCAGCAGTTGGTGACCACTATTCCCAAACTCACACTTCTAGTCAAATAAATGGAACATTTGCAAGTTGGCCAAAGTCCTACAGGATAGCTATTTACAAGGGTTCTTCTAGCCAGTGTTCTCTCATCCCCAAAAAGTTCCTTGCACTTTTGTTAAACAGTAACATTACTTACACAAAATACACTTTCACAGGGATTGCTTATTGAGGAGATAAAGCATCAGAAGAAAAGCAAAGCAGTGTTTATTGTCATAGGCACATCACAATATCAAGGGTTTGGAAAGGAAGTTCCTTCTCCATTTACATGGACTGGATGCACAGAAAGAATGCAAAAAGTAAAGGTATTGATGAACATCAGAGAAACCCGTCTCAAGCCAACTCTCCAGCTCATGTGAACCAGGGTGGCCCCACTGACTTCAGCTAAGATAAGCCTTATGCTACCGAAGCACAGTTGCTGTCTGGAGAAGGGATTGATTCCACGTGCAGAGATAAAAGAGAGTTGCCAGTGAAAGCCTTGGAAAAATAAATAGTTTGCTGCCCAGCTGGCATGGATTTGTGCAGCCACCCTGGCTTCAGACAGGCAGCAAGGTGCTACATGATTTGGCCTATATAAACTACAGAGTGAGGAAAAAATAATGGTCTCACCTGCCTATTGCTTCAAATAGCTGATGCTAAGCAAGTTCTGCTCAACACTGGTTATCAGCATGGTCACAGAGCCCAGCTCTTTGAGTAATAATGTTTTCTGTATGCAAGGGGATCACAGCAGACACAGTGGGCACAGGCAGAGTTGTCAATTGCAGAGTTGTGCTCAGGCTTTTCTCTCCATGCTGCAGGTAACAGGGGACAGCCTTTTCATCAATGCTTTCCTGTCACTTCCCTACTAATTTAACTCATTTCTCCAATATACAGAGGTTTTTCAGCTGCTACACAAAAGTCATCTCAATCCAGCTGAGAACCTCACAGAGAGACAACGTAACAACAGTAGACCACATTATTGTTCTTGGGAGGGAAAATATAACCAGACCACCCCCCTTCCCTGGAGAATGTACAGCCCTACAAGTTAGCTCTTCTTTAGGTGAAGTTCTGTAAATTGAGCTGCAGTGAGCAGCTCAGCCCAGCTACTTCAACTAATGCCTTTAAGTGAAGCCCTTCTGTGGCTCTTCTCTGGGTCTCTGCTTTAACTTCCAGGAGAGCTGGACCTGCGGCATGTGGGCTGAGCCCTAGCCAGCAAATATTTCTAGTCGAGCCACACAAACTCCGGCTCTGGGGTGGGGGGATCTGCAACAGACAAGCACATAAAGCAAGATGCCCGAGTTCTGAGCCAGCTCCGGACAGCAGGAGTTCCAAGAGCGGACTTGCTTTCTGCCCTTCCCCTCCTGCCCCGCCCGGTGCAGCGCTAGTAAGAGAGGGGGCAGGGGGAGGGACGCAGCTTTCCAGGTCTGTTACTCTTCCATCCCCCTGCGCACCCCTTCCCCTCGGCCAGAGGTAGCACGGCCACCAAGCTACCCCGGGAGGGCCGGGGTCCGCAAGCAGAGAAGTGGAGCAGACTTGCAGCAAGGACAGCTCCGTGCAGAGAAAAAGGGAGCTCCGGGTGCCCGGGAGCAGCGGTCGGGGCCAGGGGGTGGGGGCTGCTCCTGAGCCCTGACGTAAAAACTAAGCGAGGCTGCCCGCTCTGGCTTCTTAAGGAGCGCAGCGGCGGCAGCGGGCTCGGAGAGTCCTGCCCTGGCCGGAGCGCCGAGGTAAGCGCAGAGAGCTGCGGGCGGCGCCGGGGTGGAGCGGGACGAGAACGGGACGGGACGGGACGGGAGCGGAGCGGGCGGGCGGGAGCGGCGGCGGAGCCGGGCGCTGCCCGGAGATCGGCTGCGGCAGCCGCACGGCCAAGGGCATATCCGTAAGCAAGAGCTCCAAGTTAAATGATAATAACAAATTAACTGATTAACTCTTAAATTATTCTTGCAAGGCATTATCCATGGCTGGGAGTGGAACAGGACACTAAACTGCAAAGAGAAGCAGGGATAGGGGGGAGCATGGGAAAAGTCAGAATCAGGAAGTGTAAATAGCACTCACACGCACGCAAACTTTAACGTATGGACAGAAAGACCTAAAGATTGGATGGTGTAGGGGAGGAATTGCATGGATGCATTCACCACATGCACAGGTAAGAGATTAATGAAATCGGCTTTTCCTGGGCATACTCTCCAGCTCTCAACTGTCTAAAAAAAATACAGTCTTGAACCTTGTGGAAGACTAACAGCACAGTGCTGCTGGAGTTTGACCAGACCATAAGGACTAGTGGCCTTTGCTGCTGGCCCTTACTAATGCCATGCACATCCTATTTTCAGGGGCACCGATTCTCATATTAATGCTCTACCGACTTCCCTGCCCAGGGCTGTCCCTTTGTTTTGACAAATCCAGAACCCTTGTCTTAGCCAGTTTTGCAGCTTATAAAGTTTAGAATAGGTGCTGGGAAGCAGAAAATGCAAAGTAACCAGTTCCGTTTTTAACCTGTACAAATGAAATGGGGTCTATCAAAGTCACAGAACCATCATTTAAAGGATCATAGTACTATTATTTAGTATTATTCCTTTGTTTGAACAATCTGTTGTTGTTGGGGCTCCCTGCCCACTGTCCCATGTCTGTCTCCTCACCCTCATGGTCACATGTGAGACTGCTAAATTGCTTTGAAAACCAGAAACTTGATAAAGTTAACTATGACCCTTGAAAAAGTCCCAGTAAACAGCCATACGTGCATGCTGCATGGCATGTATACATAGGTGTCTGTTCCCAGTCGAAGGGCTCTGATGCACAAAGAAGAATGAAGTAGTGACTCACAGGATGTTTTTGGCTTGCTTCTGAGAAAGCAATCAAAACCTGCCTCATGGAGTAGGGTACAGAAGAATGATGCTTCTTGGGGATCTTGGGAGCAGCAGGACAGCCCTATTACTACCACCACTGTAGTAAGTGACGTCCACTAGGCAGAGCAGTGTGGGAAGAGCAAGCTGTCCCTCTTTTGTTCCTTAAATGCAATGTTCAGGTCCAGGGCTGTCAAGCCAGCTCTTCTCACAACACCCGCACTTGGATTAACAGGTGACTGTAAGGAAGTCGGAATACCTCAAAAATGCTCCCAGAACGTGACTGGATAGCCAGACAGGCGGTAGGTAAGAATAACATTGCTAGCAATGAAACCTCTGAAGAGTCCTTTAGCTCTGCAATGAAATACAATCCACAAAGCAGACTACTCTTCCCTAGCCTTGCACACAGGCTATGGCTGGACTACTTTTCACATACAATCCCTCTGCACATGAGCATCCTGTCTTGGACATTTTTCTTCACATAGCAAAAGAACACTTCTTCAGGATCACTCATGGAAGATACTTTCTACACAAAAAGCCAGTTGCTTATCTAGCTCATTAAGAGAAGCAGCTTCCCCACCCCCAACAACCAAAAAAAATTAAAAAGAAAAAAGTACAAGCATGAATACTCAGCAGATCAGCACATATATTAAACTGAATTTTGTCCTAAATGCTGATCTCAGATGTAGCTGATTTTCACAATGGGAAGTTTTCCATATGCCATGAGCTACACTAAAAACAAGCCCCCAAATTTGTTCAATACCAGAAATGCTAGAAGCATGTTAGAAAATACAACAGAGAAGTATGTCCTAGAAATTAAATCTGATGGAGACAACTGGGCCTTTCTATCCACAAAAGGTTATCATTCTCAGAATTTCTACCCATGCATCATAGATACTACTTAGCAAATATCAGTTTTAACAGTTAATTCTAAGTGACCTGCTAAGTACACATCTGTACTTTTTAATATACATAAATACATCTCAGCATAGGAAAGACATGGACCTGCTAGAGTAAGTCCAGAGAAGGGCCATGAAAATGATGAGCAGGTGAAGCAGGTCTCCTAAAAGGACAGGCTGAGAAAGTTGGGGCCATTGCACCTGGAGAAGAGCAGGCTCTAGGGACCCCTTGTTGCAGCCTTCTAGTACTTAAAGAGGGCCTATAAGAAGGATGGAGACAGGCTTTTTAGCAGGGCCTCTTGCAAGAGGACAAAGAGTGATGGTTTCAAACTGAAGGAGGACCAAATTAGATGAGATATAAAGAAAAGAATCTTTTAAAATGAGGGTGGTGATGAGTGGAACAGGCTGTTCAGAGAGGTGGAAGATGCCCTATCCCTGAAAACAGTCAAAGTCATGTTGGACAGGACTCTGAGAAATCTGATGTGGTTGAAGATGTTCCTGCCAATGGCAGAAGGGTTGGACTGGAGACCTTTAAAGGTCCCCTGCAATTTGAACTGTTCTATGATTCTATATGCATGGGTACATGTTGTACAATACAGCTATGTGATGGCTTTGCTATACCCTCTTTTCAGACCTGTTCTGCCTTTTAGCACCTAAACCACTCCTGGTCAGTGGATGAATCTGAAATCTGCAATAATTAGAACCATTAAAACATATTCTCAACAAAATTTTTTCCACCTGCTGTCCACTGATCCTTATGATTCTCAAGACTATTTTAAAGGACTCATAAAATTTTTGAGAAGAGCAAGACTGCCTAAAAGCTTAAATTATGTAAAAAGGAATGGATTTTTATTGAAAAATATTAGAGATCTGTAAAGCAAAAATGGCAAAAACCTTTCAATATTAAGAATTTCCAGATAAGACAGTTCATAATTCAGATCTGAGGATTATTAAAAATTTTTATACATGCTTCTGCTGCACAGGGCACAGCAACTCCTCTAGTGTTTTTATATGCATGTAAAAAGCATACACAAGTCTTTAAGGAGCAGAGAAACAACATCTGAGTGTCTTGTATATATCATGTAAAGTAACAGGACTTTATTCTGGCATCTAAGAGCGAGACTTTTTCAGCTTCTCTTGTTTTTCTTATATTTCAGTGACACTCTAGATCTTGGAAGCAGAGGAAGAATTCACTGCACCATGAGACTCACCTGCTCTCTCTTACTCATGGCAGTGTTCTGTGTGACACCTTTCTTCTGTCACAGTCAAATTGATCCACTGACTCTTGGGCGGGCCGACCCCCAGTGCTGGGAATCCTCCTCGGCTGTTTTACTGGAGATGAGGAAGCCTCGCATTTCTGACTCTGTCAGTGGCTTTTGGGACTTCATGATCTTTCTGAAATCCTCAGAGAACTTGAAACACGGGGCTTTGTTCTGGGACCTGGCTCAGCTCTTCTGGGATATCTATGTGGACTGTGTGCTCTCCAGAACCCACGGCCTGGGGAGAAGGCAGCTGGCAAAAGCTGAGCAGAAGACTGCTACTCTACGTTCTCAGTTCACAGGGAGAAACCAAGGTCACTAGTCCTTTAATATGCATCTAGTGGGCAATAATTAGAGTCTAGTGGGAAAGAAAAGATATTGAGGCCTATTGTGCTATGTGGTAATAATACAAAAACAGAGGATGGTGCTGTGTAAAAATCCGCTACTCCTCCCAGTGAAGTGTAGAGCTGTGTTTATGTTCAATGTGATCTCAGTAAAAATTTGACCTCCAAACAACCTGAACTATAACAACAGCTTTTAAGTTTCAGTTTGATAGGGCAGGAAAAGCAGCAGAAAGTGTAATACAGGAGGATTCAAACAAAGAAGGCAGCTCAGCAATATTCTTCCACACCAGCATTTTTATCACAGTTGTGCTATGAATGGGCTAGTTCTGAACTCCCCATTCTGAGAAGAATGCACTGCTCTGTGCTGTTGGGGAGACTGGCAGCCTATTGGCAGAGGGTAGGGGTATGCCAGCTTGCCATCTAGCAGTCAGCCACTAGCTGTTTTCCATTTCCACACTGGTAACTTTACCCAGCACGCAATGGAAACAGACCTAGGGCTTAGATGCATGTAGGCTTTCAGACACAACTACAGCTCCAGGAAGAACACCACTACCTGTGACACTAAATACTGCAATTCCTAGACTCCAGGTTCCCACCCCCTCTCCATATGCATGTCAATTACTGTCCTCATTCTCAGAAGGGAGATACAGTATAGCCTAAATCTCAGTCCCTCCCAAGGCTTCAGTTCTGATCCTGCCACCAGCAGATATATTCTTGCCTGGAGAATATCCACTTTCAGGTAGAGATAGGTGCTATAATTTGATGGAGAGGTAGAAGTGCTGTTGCCATCACCAGCAGTGTAGTGCATGGGCCACAGTGAGAAGGCAGAATTGCCTTTACACTTCAGTGGATTGAGACCCTTATCTCCACATTCTAGAGCAGTGTCTTAGTTATTGAGATCTTTGAGGAGAACGTTCATGGAATAAGGAAGAGCCTCTCTGAGCAAGTACCCATTAGAGTATTTCTACAAAAGGACTTGAACTCAGGGTTCTCACACCCCAGGGACAATATACCACTGGATCATCCCACTCCTGCCCATAACCTAAAACATTTTTGAGTATTGAAAGCTAGAATCTGGGATAGGAAGGACTGAGAGGTCCTTACCCTCGTACCTACAGGCAGTATCCTGAACTTTGAGATAGGAGTTGAGTCTGAATCTATCCCCTCAGACTAAAAAATTCACACACACAGAGTCAATTTCTAAATCATGAGTCAAACAACCACTACCTGCATTTTAAAAGCAAGGACTGGATCCTATCTTGCTCTGCAAAGAGTCTTAGCTCTGACTGGATCTTTACTGTGTTGGCATGCAGCTCAGAACCCACTTCTGGTTTCCAAGTGGTTTTAGAAATCACACAGGCAACAAGTTGCTCAATCCTTACCACACTGACACATAGAATCTAGTTTTAGACACATGAGGCAGTAGTATTGTCAAAAACTGAGATAATCCACCAGGTTAAAGCACCAGATTAATTTTTGTTTGGGATTGCAGCTTTGAATATCACTGTCTAAACTCCCACTTAGCCTTTTGTTTACATCTGGCTCTACATATCTTTATCACACTGTGATTTTCCTAAACAAAGAGCTTTTGTTCCAGTCAAGATTACAGAGTATCAGTCTGATGTGTTCTAAAGAATCAAATTAAGGGTTTTATAATAAATTCTGACTACTCTTTTATACAAAGAGATTTTTAAGTATTAAGTATTCACACTGTCTTTGCTTTGTGAATTGTAATCAGTTAATCTGGTTTCTCTGTACAACTGATTAACATCAGTCTGTAGCAGGCAGCTTATAGCAGTGACAGCCTAATTTTTTTTTAGAGGAGCTATCTAACTTCTCATCCAAGTCCCACAGTTTCTTAACAAAGCCAGCTGTTTTAATCTTTGTAACCTGTGATTCTACTGCCTTATTTCACCAGTGAAAGTAGAAATCAATTAGTAATAATTGCAGATAGAAAGCACATAGCAAATGTGAGGAATAGAATTTCCACTTTTTATGCATAGAGATATAAGCTTGTTTTCTCAGCCCCATGAGCAGCACTAACAGCACTTAAATTACCTTCACATCTACATGGTTGGATATAAAGAGTTTTCAGTAGGCTTGTTCTAGAAATCCAAAACTAAAGAAAATTTTTTGTTTATACTGTTACTTTTGCAACAATTGATATCTTCATTGCTTCATACCCAAGTTTTTACTCTTATTCCTCTTAAACAGTTAAAATTTGAACATGTTTGGGGTTTGCTCTGGTTTTTTTAATTGCAAACAGGATCATAAATCAAGAATGAAGAGCAATCTGTAACCTGCCTTCACTGTTCCTTAAACATATCACTGAATTAGAAAAGGCAAAACAGAAATCTGAACTTAGCACAAAAATACTGATATTAAGGTGTTATTATTAGCATTAAATTTCGGAACTAATGGATAAATCCTACTTGTGAAGACTGAGAATCAGGAACTTTCCAAAGGAGAAAAAAAACCCAGTCCTCCAAGCAAAAAAAGACCCCAAACAAAACTACTTTGTCACGTCTTAGAGGCACTTCCACAGTTACCCATACTTGGTTCTCCTGGGAAAAATTTTTCTTCAAGTATGCACCCAGAAGTGGGAGAAGTATCCCAGTTCCAGACTTACAGATTCAAACACTGTTTTCTGGACCAGTCTAGTCCTTCCAGGCTTTTGACTGTACTCACAGCCTGAAGATACTCTTAAACTTTATACAATCCATGAAAAAGACTACAGAATTAGAATAGTTAAATATGAATAATCTGACAAACTGTGTCAATCCACCTAAAATCATACTTAACCCAGGAGCATTGCAATTCCTTTGATATTCTGCAGAGAAGCATTAATCAGCTTTAGGTAGAGGCAAGCAGAGAGAGTTTTTCAGTTACCTGGCCAAGCTACGTTTAGTAACTCATCCCTTTCCCCTAACAAAATCCAAACACCATGAAAAAGCCAGTTTCATAAGTGCATTCCCAATCTATTACAACACTGTAGTTACATTACAGTTATAACAACTCTTAACCAAAATAAGATTTTGGAACCACAAGGAAAACATAAGTTTCATACTCACAGCAATCTTCCTGAAGAGCAGCTGTACAAGAAGATCCTCCCTAGAAACATCTGAATACTACAGATAATTCTCTGCCTCTTTTTTCCTTACCCAGCAGTCCCACTGCCCCTTACCACTCAGTGGCCACAGCTGTGCACACCTCCCTCTTGGGTGCAGGTGATTAGGCTCAGACCAGCCCTTGCACCTGGCCCAAGACAGACAATTTGCTGTCCCAACTCTGCAAGCTCCTGGGGGTAGTAGGACAAAGGCTGTTGTACAACTGAGATCTGGTAAATAAGCAGGTATTATGTTAATCAGTTCCTTTTTCAGAAGACAAATATGTCTGAAAGAAAGAAGACCAATCTGTTCCCTTTTAGAGATCATTGCAAAGGCCCCATAGTTCCTCAAGGAAATAACAAATGTGCAACTAGACAGTGTGAGACATCACACCCACTGTGCAGAGAGGTTGATAACAGGTCAGTGAGTTAGAAGGATTCTGAGCAGACTTAAGCCCTTTGATTCTGCTAATTACAAGTAGAAGAGTTTTGTAGGAAGACTAAAAGAAAAGGTCCATGCTGGGAAAAGATCAAAGTGACTTGACACTGAAAGGCAACATGCAAATGGAGGGATATGGCTATCACCAGAGGAAGAGACTTGGGGGCAATGCTGATAAAATGAGGAACAGCAGCAGCTAATGGCAGAGGAAACATGGATGTGGGAAACTGAGCATTCAGCTGCTCTTTGCTGTTTGGAAATTATTTACTGATATGCATTTTTATGTCACTTTTCAGGGACATTTTCTCATATTCAGAGGTCACCAGTTCTGAAGAAGGACTCATTTGAAGATATAATAAGCATCCATATAGATAAGAGTAGATCTATATTACTTGGAAGAATCACTGGAGAGCTAGGAAAAAAGAGGAAATAACACATTTAGTCTGAGATTCTGATTTGTAGATAATTTTTAACTACTTGTTTTTTGCATTTTAATCCCCATTGATGTCAATTTATGTGGTTGAAGAAGGCATGTAACCTCAAGCACTACATCTCTGATTAACTTGGACTTACGGGTTTTCTTAATTATGAATTTTGTCTCCTTAGTAAACTGCATGATTCATAAGCAGATGCTTCCTTTAAACTGTGTGTATATCAGGCTTTTTGTAATACATGTGATTTGTTTAAATTATTGTCTTTTGGGTGCCAAAGCAGGAAATAACTGATCCTTCAATAAAACATAGGCAAGCAGAGAAGGAAGTTGTCAAAAAAACTCCACTGGCTCCAAGACAGGATTAGAGAAGAGATGGTGATTTTTTGGTTGTATGCAGAGCTGTACACTTGTAAAGAGCAACCCCTGCTCAGAGAAATCATCCTACTAAAGGAAAACAGTACATATTTCTGCATGAAAAATACCTTCCAAGAGTGTTTTCAGTTTTCCAGTAAAAGGGTTAACAGATTTTACCAGCTCCTCTGCTTTCACACTTACAATGTCTTATCACAAAAATTCTCATACATAACGTGCATTCACTTCTTTTTTAGTTTACAAGTTCTTTGTAGGAAAATCAATTTCTTCTGACTCTTACTGATAACCCTAATAGTCATTTTGACATTAAACTAATGCAATACTACTTATGGCAGGTAACATTTGATTGCTTTTATGATATAAATTATTTCCATTGCCAGACTGGCTGGGTGAAATCATGTATTTCGTCTTTCCAGGGCTGTTACATTTAGTTATTCATTCAAAGTTTCTTTCCTTGAGCATGTAGCAATATTTGGTGGGGCTTTTTTTCTTTTTCCCAAATGTCCACAGTAAAAGGGGCCTCCTGGTTGTTCAACAAGTTGCAGAAATAGGTTCAAGTAATAAAATCTATAAAGAAATCTTGAAATGGTTACTGGCCTGAACAAAATAAGGCTTAATAACAGGCCCATTGTGGGTAATCCTGACTTAAGGAAGAACACAAAAGACTGGAAGAGGGCTATAGCAGCTTCAATGGCACTGAATTTGTGCTTCAAGTTAAGCATGCAGCAAACCATTTAAATGTTCAAGAGAGGAGAGAACACTAAAGCAGGATAAACACAAGAACACACAGTTCATTGTACTCAGCAGCAGAGCCCCAGTTGCAGCCGCAGCCTGAGAGCGCTTTGCTACTACATGGGAGGGCAGCAGGAGCATTGCTACAACAGATCTGCCATCTCCTCTACTGATGCCGTTAATTAATTACATTGTTGTAAAATATCTAAAAGCCTCACTGTTGCAATTTTGTATCAATGTAAGAGAGTCTTCACTCACAGTCCCTACAGCTACCAAGACCAGTGCCTGACAGTGTTGCGGGCTGGATGCCTCAGCCCAGGAGGATTGGTATTGGAGTAGAGCAGATGTTACCTGCTCCCAAGCTCTAGCAAATGCGCAATCAAACAGATTATCTGAACAGGTCCTGTTTAACTGAGATCCTTTTGCACAGAGCCCTTTGGGCAGATGTTAGTGCTTCCACTTTTCATAGGTCCCACCTGTAACAACAGGTTCCCTTAGGAAATGGCTGAGGGAAATACCACTATGGACCAAGACCATATTTAGCTTAAATGAATTTGCAATACTTCTCTACTTCAGTAAGCTTCTTAATTAATAGACTGTAGCAAAATTCAGCCTTAGAGGCAATGGACAGGAAAGGATGTGGAAGCAAGACTGAAAAAACAGATGAATCTCTAGTATAGATCACACTATGGAGAACATTTGGAAATTGCTGATGTAAAGAGACAATCTGTTATTAATTGTGCTGAAATAAAAAAGGGGATGCACCTAACTACATGTAAAACTGCAAGTGATAGAGAGCAAGTATAAAATAAAACATAAAAAGAGTGTCTGTATTAAAAAACAAAGCAAGGGCTCTCAGTATGAGATGAAAGTAGATCTGCTATACAGGAACGTTTTTAAAACGTCGCTGTGTTTAAAGACTGGAAATTGCCTCCTACCACTTTTCCTTATAAACTTCATGGCAGATCTTTGAGTGAGCTAAAATTATTTTTGCAGGTAATGTCCCTGGCTTACTGTTTCTCAGTCAGAGCGTGTCAGAAAAAGGATAGGATGAACATGTCTGACTGAAGTACCTTCACTGTCAGCTGAATTGAATAAAGACCTTGTGATTTTGTCCCTTTCATCTTACAGGGGTCTGTGAGCTAAAAAACTTCTTCTTAGCAAGGAAAACAATTAAGTCTTTACATACTGACATGAAAGAAGAATTCATGGTAGTTCAGAAATATCTATTTTTAAGAACTTGTGCTCCAGATCTATTCGATGTTGCTTCAGACCAAACCAGCATTTGCCAGTTGCTACTGTTTCCAACCAAGTTTAATTCAGATGCATGCACTAGAAGGACTTTTGAAGCCTCATTAGATGCTGATGGGTATCTTCCCATAATCAACAATTAGGTTCCTTGGATTGTTGTGTATGTCTCTCAGCACTGGTACTCAGTACTGCAAAAGCGACTAAACTTCTATCTCACAGTATATTTATGTTATGATATGGGTATGTTCACTTTCCAATTACCTCATCACTATTTGTTCTCTGGGGTCCTCCCTCCTCCCCCAATAAGTTTATTTTCTTTAATTTTCACCCTCTTTACACTTCCTTTGCTGGAGACAAACCACTTGTTATCTTCCAGTAGCATGCCATTATTTCTTGCTGTAAATTCTAGAGTGTTTGCAGGCCTCCTTTGACCAAAAATGAGCAGAAAGAATGAGGAATGTTCATTAATCTCACTACCACAGTGCAAGCTCTTGCAAGAAGATGACTGAGGTGCTACCAACAGAAAATAAGATTTCTAGCCTCTTTAATTAGTCAGGCAGTCCCTTTATCTTGATGATTATAACTCATTCTGAAAAATACAATACAAGAAAAATCTATGAGAAAAATCTATGTGGAAAATCCTTGTGGAGTTCAGCTAAGTAGCTTTTCTTAAGCCCTATGCTTTTCATTAGCCTATTCAATCCCATCATCCTAAACACTGTTTGATTATATATGAAAAGAAGCTTCAGAATAAAATTTACCTAACTTTTCTCTCAGAGCTTCCAAAATTTTTTTATTTTTTCACCAGAGTGAAATTTATTTTCTTTGTAACCACAGAAAAAATCCCATACAAACTAGGACTATTTTCTTTCTTGAAAAGCTGGTATCATTTTACTGACATAACTAAAACCCTTTAAATTATGCAAATTTTCTTGAACCATAACTGTTTTTGAGCATATACAAACATACTTATTTACTATTTTTATGCATCTCCTGCCAAAGAGCGTTAGTAAATAATTGACTGTATATTTTTTCTCTCTGAAGTGGTACTGAATAATTTCGATTTTTTCAGGTCTTTAAAATCCTTCTGTACATTACAGGAAAAAAAGGTTTCCTTGTTGCTGGCATCAACAAGCAATACAGCACCATTCCAAGGAAGTAACTCGACCATGGGATATCAACAGCTAAAGAGAGAAATGGGCAATCATTTGCACTGCTGAGGAAGTCACAGCACGGGAGCTGGAAATCACCAACAGAAAAGGAACATAGCTCTCCAAAATGCTCCTGGTGAATCAGTAAATGCAGAAATCTGTCATGCTGTGTTATTACAGGCAACATCTGAGACACTTTAAAGTGTCTCTTTTAAGAGACATGGCATCAATTACCTTAAGTAGTTCAGTGAAGTTGTAAGGTGAATGGCAGTTTCCATCATTTGCAAGCTGGTGAAATTACTTGGTTGATGAGGTCAGAGAAGGACCTGCAAACATGCTCAGCTGTAGAGAAGAACTCCTGGTGCAACACAGTTTGTTGGGCTGAAAAGTAGAACAGATTTTAAGCCCTTCCAAGCTTTTGGATGCTGCCAGAGCATTAGAAAACTCTTTACAAATCTCTAAGATAACCCTCTAGAAACACCAGCTTTTTCTGTCATATTCCTTATTACATCCCCATTATCAAAAGTGAGGCATGCTGAGTGTTGAACAAAGCTCTGCTATGTGAGACCATTGATTACAGAGGGATTTTGTCCTGTTGGAAGTCTCCTAAGACTAGAGTTATTAGTTATGGTGTTACAGAATTGGCAAGAGCAAAAACCTCTCTTGCCCTCACCAGTTTAAGTTTGCTCCTTAATTGACTGCCAAGACTGATGACATCTTAGGAGCTTTGACTCATCCAGTTCCAAATAAGTCCAACATTAGGGGCTATATTTTGGAATATGCTTTACCTTACAATAATGGAATAATACTGCAAAGGCTAAAGCAAGATGCTGAGTTTCCTCTGCGAGTTACATGATTATGAACAATATAATGGAGTAAACTGGATGAAGGTAAGAAGACAGTGTCAAGATGACTGAGAACTTATACCTGATTTGGTTTGGAGAGACAGTGTATCCTTCAGTTTCATCATTAGCAGTTCCAATTCCTCTCTGACTTCCTTCTCATCAGGTGGTATCTGCATTGCAATGGGAATAAGAACTGTATTCCCCATTCCACCAAAAGAGTTTTCTGTCAGTTTAGGTGGATATGTTCGTTTCTCTTTTGCTTTTTTATGCTCTCTCATAAAGGGTTTGTCACTCTGCAGGAACACTGACTCCAGTGGCTTATCTGAGTACATAAAGTCCATTGCAGTAGGAGCCTCAGGTGTCTGTAAAAGTTGCATTCCATTTACAGAGCTTGAGGGATTCAAAGATTTCCATTCTGCACATGTCCTGGAAGTAGGCCTTATTTGGGCAGGATTTAATTCACTCTGCATTCTCCTTTCCAGCAGAAGATGTGGATTTCTTGGCATTGTATTATGACACTGTGCAAAAGGATGCTCTGACGACTGCAACATGGTCTACAAAATACAGAAAATACATTGTAAAATAATTGATATTTCAGTTTGCTGGTAGTACTAAAACAGCACTGCAGAAAATGCTACAAAAATGCTGTAGGGGGAAAAATATGTAAACATTTTCTGTAAAATAAAGGCCTTTTAAGAATCTCAGAAATAATTGTAATGATAAGAAAACTACAACTGAAAACAAAAATATTTTCTATACGATGTCTGTATTACATCCCAGTAAAAGACAGCAATTAGGAATGACATTTTATTTATCCAGTGCCAGCACTTTGACTCTTCAGAAACAGATCTGACTGCAATGAAGTATCTAACACTTCTGTTCGAAACTCTTATTGGGATATTCATTATTTTCATTGCAGTACTATTTAAATCTGCTAACATGGATATCTGTGCTAGATGCACATAATGATAAGAAAACCCCTACTGCAAAGACCTTATCTGCTTTCTCTGAAGGGAAGAACTTAAGATGACTGAAAATACAAGTGGAAGGTGCATGAAATGGTATTAAGAGTGCTGATCTACAGGAAAAGCAGTTGTTAGTGTTCAGTAATGGCACATAGCTGTGACAATTCTTGATATATATATCATTATACCTTGATTTCTTCCTTCATGTGCTTCAGTGTCATTTGCAGATTTTCATGGCTTAGTCTCAGTCTTTGGAGTTTGGCCTCTATTTTGCAGCTTTTTTCTTCCTGGCAGTTATGAAGAAATTGCATTTTGTCCTTCCATTTGTTGAACTGCTTCTTCATGTACCTACCAGAGATACAGAAGGGTGGAATTTTTGCTAGACCAGACATACACAAATACATGCAGTCACGGAAACGAGCAAACACTTTAGCACAAGCTTTATCCCTATTACTACTTCAGGAGATTTTTGTCAGCTTTGGGATCAGAGGCCAATAATTCAGGAGCTGGACTGTATCCATGGAATTAGCATGAACATGAGTATTCCAGATGAGGAAATATGAGAGCTGAGTAGAACTGTGGCCAGGAATGAACCTTGCATCTTGGGGTTTTACCTTTCCCACAAAGGTGGCTGCAACAGGAGACAATAGCAGTCCCTCTGTAGAGAAGCAAACTACTTATAGCAATTCCCTGACCTGCAAAAGATTCCCATTACATGCCCGGGCAACAACGAAGTAAAAGCAGCTTCTACCCCTTTGATAGCGTTTCTTCTTGCTCATGGTATTCTCTGCAGTTTCTTAATGATACCAATAGCTTCTGCACAGACCAGTTGTCGTTGAATAAACACTCTGATTTTTGCAATCAGAAGTGCCACCCTCCCATGCATATCAGAGATTTAGAAATTACCTACTCGGAATACAGTATGACAGAAATACTACCCATAATTCTGTTCTAGTTGTGATTTCCCTAAGAAATCAGGGTAGAAATTATTTTGCTTTCCTTACAGCTGAGGTGCAGACAGTAAAGTTTGTTAACACCAGAGTAATAAACCAACTGCTCCATATAACAGATCTGAAATAGTTATTGCCTTGCTTTGTTGCGTTCAGAATTTCACCTGATTAATTTTCTTTTGGTTATGCTTTGGCTTAGAGAAAACTGCCCCATCAGTTTCACTTGAATTATGCAAGATTTGTGTGAATGGGACAGCAAGTCAGACCATTTAAAATTAGAATTCATATTACAGTGGTCCCTTATAACAACATTTAAGGGCTCTTCACTGTAAAATACTGTCCTCCCTCAACTAACTCAGAGCTCAGTTCTATGAACAGACAGGTGAATGCTGGAAGCTGGTCCACAAGCAAGAATAAAGAACTTCCCATGAGTAATGTGATTAATTCACCCAGTTCTGTGATAAGCTCCGGGTCAGAGCAGCATTATAGGAGAAAGCATCCCAAATATCCTCTCAACGATTGCTAATCTGAAAGAAAGCTGAAGATCTTTGCCATATCTCTTCATTTTCCCAAGTGAGAACAGACTTGCAATGGAACTGCAATTGTTTAGCTCTAATCTTGGAGTGCCCTTGTGTGAACCTGGAGCAGCAATTGGAATGAAACAGAACACGAACAGAGGGAACTGAACGTACTGAAGGAAATAAAGAGAGTAGATTTGGGATTGAATTCTACACCGATTCCATCACTTTCAGTGGTCACAGGCATGGTTATATAGACAGGACATTTATATACAATTACAAAAATGAAGGAGGGGAAGGCAAAAATGCAAGTAAAATGTCAGCATCGTTGCTCACACACTAACTTCCTCCTTGCCATATCATCCAAGCAAACAAGCGTCCCAAGAGATTTTTAATTTAGGAATTAATATTTTACAGTGTTGAAGATTTGACTATCAGAAGGAACTTCTGTGATGAAGTGTTACACCTCAGCCTATTAACCTCTATTTGATGCACAGCATATTTTGTAGAAAGAAATTCTACTTTGATTTAAAAGCTTCATGCAAATTATGAAATATGTTTTGATTAAGCCTTATCCAGAGAAAAATTTGAAAAAGTGTGCTGTTCTGACATTTTTATGTGGATGAACATCTTTTTGCCTAAAAACTACTTTTAGAAATATAAACTAGCAGTTGCAGAAATGCTGATTAAAGCAAACCAAAATGTTTTGCTTTGCCATTGTTTTTCCAGTGATCTTAATCTAAATTTTTTGTTGCTGAGTTTTCATTATTTATCCTCATTTGATAGGATTTTTTAAAATCTCAAAATCTCCAAAGTATGGAAAACTCATGTCTTCTAGCCCTCCAGCTGGAGCAGCATTGCCCACCAGTCCTCAGTCAGTGTACTGCTGCAGTTACCTACCTGCTGTCACTGTGAATGCTTTTAATGGATTCGTGCATTTTAAACATATCTGCTTCAAAAGAGGCTATTGCCTAAAACAAAAAGAAGTATCTGTTCATAACTTTATCAGCAATAGCATTTCATTTTTATTTGCAAGTTTTATTATAGGAGTGCATGGCAAATTTTGGATTTGGTCTGTTTTACAGATTTATTAGTTAACCTTTTTAATTTAATGTATTATAATCAACTGATGCATTAAAGTATTTCTAATGGGTGGAAAATTTATTCTATAGAACGAATTCTTTGTTCTATGACAAATTTAAGTGTATGGAAATTTGTTTGAAATTAGAACGAAATCCATATTCCCAAGAATTTCTGCAAAATTGAATATTCTGATTTGGGAACAACCTCTCTCAAGTCCCACAACTGCTTTGAGATAAGGAGATGGTGAGACTGAATGTAGAAGAGAGAAGAGAAACTCCTGGTCTTTAGATGGAAATAGCATTCTCTGGACCATGCAGAGAACAGTAGCCCAAAAGTCAGGGAGACAAACACTTTCCAGCTAAGCTACATTTGAGGCATGATATAAATTGGGTAGGAATCAGGGCTGCCAGGAAATTGAGACTAAGAGCTGGATTGCCCAGGACCTCTGTATTCATGGATTCTAATAAAAGCAATAATTGGACTTACCGTCCACATCTTTTCAATCAAAGTGGAAATAATCTGCACTATAAGGTCTTAGAAATCAGTATAAAACTGCTCAAAAGGAATTCTCAGCCTAGAGAGAAAATAAGCAAGAGAACAATGCACCTGACAGAATCCCAGCACAGGGATGCAAGTTCCATCCTGCTGTTTTCTAAAAGACAAATGCCAACCATCAAAATTCTATGTTGAAGCAAGGTCTACCCACAACTCCTGCAAATGTCTGCTGGCTGGCACTATACCTTGAGCTGGGCAGCAGTGTTCTAAAAGACAGGTCTCCCAAAGGGCAGCACAGGAGTAGCAGCCAAAGGAGTGACCTGGCACACAGAGGCTATTTCTGTGTTACTGCACCCCTTGGCTCCTGGGAAGAGCAAGATGAGTGGATGACAACCTGGTTTGAACACATTCCAGTGCTCCCTGTATTCTGAGTAAGTGCAGAGCTACCAACCTCTAAAAAATATAGAAAGAAAAAATTGCTATGCACTTATTTTTAGCTACACTGTCCTACCCATTCTACTAGCATTGTTTCTTTGGAGGGAAGCTGGGAATGGATTATTGGAGACCTTTTGTGCATTAGGTATTTTAGTTGGAGTGGACACTGCTCTGTGTTTATCCTAAGAGGGCCCATTCTGTCCTTTTGCTATTTCCATGGGAACAAAAATGGCCTGAGTCTAATAAGAATTCAGGCATTCTTCTTTGACATTTGCTTGCAGTAGGAAGACATGATGGCCTTTTTCACTGTCAGAATAGCGAGAGTACTCCAGACTCATCTAGAACTTTAGCGTGCTACTTCACAACAGCTCAGAAAAACCTCAAGCAAATATTCTTACAGGTGCTTCTGAAGGTCATGGAAGTCGAGGAGTTAGTCACTCACTAATCTTGGGAAGATAACAAAATCAAACTAAATTTTCAGACTACACATTTTTCACCATAGGTCAGGACTTAACAGAAAGGTGAAGCTACCTATTACATTTTCATTGGAATTAGAAGGCAATTAGATAATTAACTTGCTAGGTCTTCTTCACAGCTTTAGCATTATTACTGCTTCATGTTTTGCTCACCTGAGCTATCGTCTTGCCTTGCTCTGGTGTCTTCTTGTTATTCTCACTCTTCTGCATTACAGTCCTGTTTTCAGGTGTGAACCTGGGTGACTCTGGGACACAGTTGTCCACAGGGAAAGACACATTTTCAGGACCAGGTGATGATGGAGCATTCAATTCCACAGGAGGACTGCATACCAACAGGGAAGTAATGAGTAGGGAAAGGATCAGGACTCACATGGTTTTGCTATCCAGGAAGATCAAAATGCAGAAAACTAATGCAGTGTAAATAGACAGCTGTGCTACTGACTAAGCAAGAAATAAAGTTTAGCTATGCCTAGTGGCATATGATGGTTGAAAGAATGAAGTTCCTGAAAACAAATTCCACTCCCCCAACAGAATCTCAGCAACAGGTTCTTCTTTCCACCCATTTATTCTCAGTGCAATTTGCTGCTTCTCTATTTTGCTTCCTTTAACCAAGAGTTAAATATACTAGGAAATTCAACTACAAAAAAAAAAGCAAAGTATCCTGCTGTTCAGCCCATCATATGCTAGAAAAAATCTAGATATTTATCAGCCTTGCAGTGACATCTGTAATGGCAATCCCAAATTGTTCTTTGTCTCATTGCTACCTAAGCAGTAGGTAAGCAAACCCCCACAGAATTAAAGAGAAATCTCAATAGCTTCCAGAAAAATTAAATTACATTCAAAATGATTAAATACTGTTTTGTTACTGAGTACAAGAGAGGAAATATTAGCAATGAAAGATGTTTTGCATTTCACCACATTCTAAAAAACAAACACTGAAATAATATTCTCCATGAGGATTATAACTATTATCCATTGGTCTTTTAGTATATAAAAAATTGTTTTCTAACTGAAAACCTACCAGAGTAGCACAATCCAATTTTATAAACACTTTTTTGTCCTCCTTCACATAAAGATGAAATTAATTATTTTAGAGAGGACTGACCATTTTCCCCTTATTTCAGTCTCATTGAAACCTCATTTGGAGAACATGTGTGAGATACAAGACAGTTGCTAAATCTTTTTACAAATGGGAAGGAATCTCACCCTTTGTATCTTTCTAGTGCTTATCTCCTATAATCATTCCCTTCAGTTTCTATACCTAAGTATCAACCAAAATCTCAGAGCAAGGAAGGAGAAACTATTGGGAAAAATCTCTACATAAGCACCAATGCTCAATAACCACTGTGATCAGTGGAAATACTGCAATGACTAAATATTAACCAAAGCACATGAAACATTTGGTCTGAAAGAAGAGGAATGGTGAGATCATCTACTGGCTATTGCGAGTAATTCCACCGGCCTGCAATTTAGTGGGAATTGAGTAGAATACCAGTGAATGCACTGTGGGTCACATGTAGAAAGTATTCAGAGTTCATTTCCAATGGCTTTGTCACAGAGGAGGTGCTTAAAAACCCATGCAGTTGTAAAGGTAGTAAATATTTGCAATGCTTGACCCTAGACTGAGTATGAGAAATGGAATGTAGTGAAAGAGACAACGTAAGGAAGGAGGGAAGCAAGACACAAGCCAGTTATATTTTATTCGACAACTGATCATTAGGTTGTCAGCATGGTAACCAAAGTTAAGCTACATAACAATGTGCAGCAACTTCTCAGTTATTCTCTCCCTTTTTAACAGGAAAATCATGACATGGTATCTGCCATAACAAAATCCCTTACTCAAAGGACATAATCAAGCAATATTCCACAGCCTGACATTCAGAGATGATAAATTCATCTGAAACTGAAACTCACAAAGTCTTTTTGTGAACAGGGAAGTGCCTCTCCTCCACTGACTCCAGAGCTGTCCTTCTCTGAGCCTCTTTTCTTCTGCAGCGCTCTTGGAACAGGTTGTTCCTGATGGTGCGGAGAAAGTGCTTTGCATTCGCCTTTGCTGACATCTATTGGAATGAGGGATAATAAAGCAGAAAGTGATTTTGCAAACAGGTACTGCCCAGAAACAGACATACTCCAAAGCAAAAGTCCATCTGTTCAGCATCTGAACATGGCTCATGGCTGCTATATGAGCCCTAGAAGAGTAGCTGAGGTGGGTAATGCTGTAGGACCACAGGCAAAAGCAGCTTCAATTCTTTTAGGCAAAATACTGCCTGGATCAAAGTTAGGCAGCCTGGAAATGCTAACATAAGATTTTGGTAGATACAATGATTAAGCTCACAGTAACAACAATAATTCTGCTGTATCTAAGGAAGAAATACTTTTATACTTGTATAAAGCATTTGTCGATACAGTCTTCTATGGCTCACATCCTCCTCTCCTAGAATACAGTAAAATACACATCCATTTGTCACAGGAGTGTCAGGCTCATGTACAACAACTAAGCTCAGTAGCTCTATTATTGGAGGACACAAAGCAATTCTGCCCCAGGTGACTGCTGCAGTACATGGAGTGAGCCCTGACAGACTGAACAGTAAAACAAAGAAAACATACCACATGCCTCCCAGTGCTTTACAACGTGGTGGTAACATTACCACAAGGTGTCAGCACGGTACGGAAAAACTCTGCTGATATTTCAAACCCCAGTCAGCAGCTCAATCCCTGATAAAGACTGTGAAAACTTATCCAGACAAGGACAGCATATGCTACGAGTGGAAGGCATGGGGATAGCAACTTACTGCTGATTATTTTATGTCCCACAAAACAGATACAAAAATCATATTTCTCGTAGTGACTGGTTTATCTTTTAAAATTTGGTGTAGATTTTGGCCTGTACTGTAATATTTGGCCTATAAAGTAATTACAGGGTTTGTGTTAGAGAAGGACTTCATAAAAGAAACCTAAGTTCAGTGATTCAATTGCAATTCCATAGCAAAAATGTGGCTGCAATCCACGCAGCAACATCTCCTGTCTTGCTTTATCTCTCTTGCCCTTCCTTCCGGTGCTTCCACAAACACACACTCCCATTCACTCTCCATTCACACTAATTTTAATGCCTCTACTTAGAAATCTCTTCATGAGGAGATCAGTTAACATTTGATTTCCCTACTTTCTCACAGATGGAGTATGAGGAAGAATATTTGGAGGACTGAACTGTTATTTTTAATGCAGATATTGAGCATCCAGATATAATTTCTCACAATGTTAGCAATAGAGTTTTGTTTTTAGGAAGAGAACAATGAAGTGGCAAGACTTTAATGCTACCCCAGAGAAAGGGTGAGAACAAGAGCAGTCTATCAGTCTTTAGTTTTAGTGCAGACACTGGCTGCCCAGGTAGGGATGGGATGAAGGAACATTGGGACATTGAGAGGACTTTTCATAGGTTTAAGGATTATCTGCTAACAGAAAACTTGCCATAAATCTCCTTAAGAAGATGACTTGCACTGGGATGTTTCATAGCTCTATTCAGCTACTTCAGAACAAAACACTTCTAAAGTTAGAAGCCTGCTTTCTTTTCTTTTTCCTCCCTGTTCCCAGACTAATAATGCTAACATGTCACGGCTGTTATGGCTAGTACAGACACAACCTTATAATGCATGTAGTTGAAGAACCTACTGCCTACTTACCTACATGAAGAACCTCAACAGGGAAATGAATCAGTACAATAGGACTCTACCTGCACACAGTGTTCCACAACAGGATGTGATCTCTTATGTGGTTTGCAGAGACGGCCAGTGAAAAAGCAGGCTTGGCAAAGGTCAAAATTGAGGCACTTTAAACAGCGATACCTGTGAGGGAAAACAAAAGGATTTATTTGCCTCCCCATAAGTAAGAATTTGGTGTAAGTAAGCTTGACTATTGGAAACCCAGATCCCTGGACTCTGAAATGCAAAGAAACATATTTTTTTTTTATTATAATAATGACTTTCCTCAGCATTTTCTGAATTCAAGTTATTTTGTCCAAATGACTGTGGACTTCTCTCTGAACCCACTAGTGGTTTTGATCTTATTTATTTGCTGCATTGAAATGCAGTCCATGAAAGAAACCATTGTTCTAGCACCATTTCCCATTTTTCAGCATGCAGTTACAACTTCATATGCTTCTTATGCACCAGCTTACCTCTATTTGCTGCTCCCATGAAACTGTAATATTGACATAGGATTAATAAACAAAAAACCAAAAATGCAAGAAACTAAACCTGCAAGCTTACAATTAGTGAGAATACAGTAACAGTAAAATGCTTTTCTGAGCATTCTGGTCAGAAAGTAATGGACAGTGTTCTTTTTATACTACGATGCCATTTTATACCATTACTTAGATGACCAAGATGCTAAGATGGAAAATTCAAAGAGCCAGTTAATACAATTGGTTACAGGAAAAATAACGAAGAAATGAAATACACAGGTTTAATTTGCTTTACCTTTGGACTGCCAGTTTACCTTTGGCAAGTTTTCATAGTCATGTCTGTGCTAGTGAGCTAAAGAGAAGAGGATGAAGACTTGAGCATTAGACTGCAGCGGTTCTCTCTATCCTTCTTTTCCTGGTTAAATTAGATTACGTCCAAAGTTTGTTACTTAGTACATCAGTTACAGCCTGTAAGGTATGCAAACAATGGTAAGAACTGTTTACGTGGATGTTAAAGACCACTGACACACCTGATGCCTCTAATGGGGGAAACTTTGCAGACTCTGCATCTAGCTTGGTGAGAAATCATTTCCGTGGCTGATAATCTGTAACATGTAGGGAGCCACAGGAGAACAGCAGGCTCTGATCTCAGCCAAGACAGGAATTTTTCTTCAACAATAGCTGCATTCAGAACCTATAAAAAATACGTCTCAGGTTCATACATTCACTTAAAATAAACTGGTGGTTCATGTACAATCTCTAATAAAAGCTCTGATACTGGATTTTGCTAGCATAAATTTTCCATTCATGTAAAATGTTACTGGGTTCCACATGTTTTGGAATAAATGCAGGAGTCCTCAGTAGTATCTTACTGAGCATCTTTTCTTTAGATACAAATGCTCCCATACTGTGAGACTAATGATCAGCCCTGCTTCTTAAAAGTAGATACTTGGGGATGTTATGTGGTGATACATTTGAAGTTTTAATCAATCAGCAACATTCAGAATAATTTCCCAGGACATCAGAATTTCACTCACCCCATGGAAACAGTCATGAATTGCAATTTCCACACAAGACAGAGTGCAGCCTTCTCCCACAATGGCTGGGATCTACACCAAGAAGAAAGGCTCAGAAACACCTCAATAAAAAACAGATGTTCCCATCATGCTCTGCTGTGAGGATGACAGCACACAGATGGTGAAGTATCTATAGCAATGCTATTTTCCCACTGTTCTGAAGAAAATCCGTTCATATTCATACCATCAGTATGCAGTTTCACAGTTTAGGGTGTGTCAGAATGATTTGTTTTCAACTCATTTACTGTAATGGATCAACATACTTTGTTTCTACACTATAATACTGAAGGACGCTGAATCTTAAATCTCAGAGGTAATTTTCAGATCTCATTTTCAGCACCAGTTCAGATGAAAATACCTGTATGCTAAGGCAACTTGCAGCAACTGCAAGCTACTCTAGTGAGTACAGACATCTGAAGTTTGAAGTTGCTTTAGGAATAGTTGTATCCAATTGTTTCCAGGACTTGTAAGTTCAGGCAACATGAATGCACAAAGGCATTCACTAATACAAGTGGTTCTTTTGAGAACAGGGACAGAGTTTGATTCTTTTACCTACTTTACATGATAGCTCCCTATGTCCACAGTGTCCTATTAACTTCAGTCCATTAAGGTAATCAAACATAGCAGGTATCAATCATGAGGGTTCTCTTCTCCTAGGTTAGTACACTCCTACAAAATCTGTTGTGCAATAGGAGTGCAGTGACATTACCTGATTTAAGTCTGTTAGCAGGCTTCTCAGGGCACTACGGGTAATCAAGGTCTCCTTCCCATCAGGGACAGCGTAAAACTGGAAGAAAGCTGAAAACAAGGAAAAAAACTGGAATCCTGGCAGAGTCTAAACTGTCTTCAAGCTATCTTCAAACTGCTATGGTAATTGCAGTCTAAAAAAGAAACCCCTCAGAAAGTTTCACTCTATTATGTAGCTAGCAGCCTCTCAGTGACTGCTGTGACCATACTTCTCCCTATAGCGAGGGAAAAAGAAGGAAAGCAAGGAAGAAAGCAATGAACTCGTTCTTATAACATTAGGAAAAATATTTAAATATGTTTATACAAGAAGTTCTCAATTTAAATTGTGAATTGCTTATTTAAAACCATGGGGTCTCTGTTCTTTTCTGCTAGGCAAATAGAAGCTCTACTTAAACTTTACTATGACCTCTTTTGAGGTTCCTTATTGCAAAGATGGCTACAGATATCGATTGAAAAGCATTATTTTGTATCAGCCTTTATCTTCAACTAAGCAGTCAACATAATTTACTTTTCTCATGGCAGAGCTAAATTTCTTTTAAAATAAAAAAGGTACAATGGAAATATTCCTCAATGTTCAGTATTTCAGGCAGTGTATAAGATCATGTATTTCCCACCTCTGTATTTAGCCAGTAGAGTGTCTCCTGAAAGGGAAATTAAGGCAGCTGCAGCAGATCTGGTTTTGATATACCCTGTGCCAGATCTAGGAAAATGAAATAAGTTACACTACATTCACTGAGAATATAAAAACAAACTTCTAAAGAATAGAATAGTACTATGTATGAAGAAATCTTCAAAACAAGTATTCTTTTGCATGTATAAATGTAACCAAAGTAACATTTCAGTGATATTTTTTGTCTAGAACCCTTTGCCACCGAACATAATTACAGAGTGAGCTGTTCCAAGACAACATGCAGTCATAAGACAAAAAGACAACATCTCCTTAAAAGACTTCACATCCCAAGTAAAATGTAATTTTACATTTACAATGTATGTCCTAAAAAAATTCTGCTCTTTTTTTTTTTTTTTTTGTGTGGAGAGCCTTCCCAAATACAGTAGTGAATATAGGATACAATCTGAGTTTTGCATATATCATCAGGCAGCTCCACTATGGCCTCAGATCTGCACTGAGCTTCTCTTGGGCTGATTACATTTAATTTCACTGAAACTCAATTTAATCAAAAGGATATATGCAGGAGCAGGACATTTAGTTTTGACCATTAGATAATAAATAATGTAGATTAATTTAGAACCCAATTTTGTGACATAGGCACCTAATGAAAGACACTCTTTTTTTTTTGTGAAGACAATGCAGACATTAATCAGAACCACAAATCAGGAAAATCTGGAAATCTATATTTAAGATATTACTTTTGCAAAGCTTCAAAATATCATTACATAAAATTGTCTTCAAGAGTCTTTAGACCAACCCACACTGTGTAAAGCTGCAATATAATCTCTAAAGTATGAAGTGCATGGGAAATCGTTGTTTTTCCAGAAATTTCAAAGGAAAAACTCCAAGACTAAAGCTAACGTACACAATCAAACTCCCTTAAGATGTTTGTGCAAGCTTATTAAGTAAACTACCACACAAACATGGAAAATTCCTATGTGCTCCTCCTATTAAATACTTTCCTGTGTTAATAGTGGAGAATAGCAGTCTACAGAGAAAACATGATTAGAAAATCATAAGAAGCTTTTTCTATCTTATATACATGTCAAGACACTTGTGAAATTATTTTTTAAAAAAGAAATAGCAGCAAAAAGAAAATGACACGGTCTTAAGAAGGCAGACTAAAATAACAAGGTAGTCCTGTTAAGAAGATTCTTCGAAATAATTTCCCTCAATGCACGCAAATTACAAAATACTCTTGGATGTTTCTAGTTTCGTTTCTTGATACGCCATTTATTCTTACCCTTAATTGATTTTTTACAAAAAAGTTTGATAAAATGGGACCTTAAGCAGTACCAATCAAAAGAGTAATGAATAATGCTTCAAGAAAACGTCCTGTGGACCATTTACATCTCATTTACTTTCAGTAAAAAAATTTGCTGTGATGTAGAAGGGAAAAATTTCACCTGTGATAAATAACTTGTACAATGAACTCAGTCTTTGTCTTTTAAATCTGACACAATCACAAAACAATCCTGCCTTTAGTGAATTAACTCCTTATTCACAAACAATACACAAGAAAAATACACTCTGTGAGCTGTTTCCTTATCATTTTCAGAAACTTTGCTATTCACCAAGCTGCTCAGCTTAGTTATGAGGCATCAATTTTGTTTCATAATTGGTAGATGAACTTTTTAAGCTTGAGAAAAATGAATAACGAAAAGTGACTAGTAAATTCCTGACCTGTGCATGTGTACTATTCTCCAGAGGCAAATATGGGTTCTTTTTTAGGAGTGAATCAAAATATCTTGGAAGTCAGAAGAAGACCTATTCTGTAAAGTTGTTTGGAGAAAACGTCAGCATGGTCTGGATTTCAAGATAGTTTTGGGAATATTTAACCACTGTTTGTCTAATGCAGTTTTGTGCCTCATATTCGTACAGCTGAAATACTCCTAGTTTTTATACCAAGCAAAACCAATCAAGATGGGAGAGTTTCACATAGAAATGGTGTGAGAGTGATAGAAACAGACTTAGTCCAGCAGTACTTGGGGTGGGAGCTATATGATCTTTAAGGTCCCATCAAAAAAAACATTCTTTGACTCTATGGTACTTCACAATGGATCTACATTTATTCTTCTTCTCACCTGTCATACATGGCAACCAGCAGGCTCAGTGTGAATTCAGCAGCTCTTGGATCTACCTGGCCTGGTTTTTCTAATCTTGCTCTTTGGAACAATTTCATCAGCATTCTAGAGATTTGCTGAATGTTCAGAGAAATCCGCTCCTCCCTCTGGCTTTGTTCACTTGATAGGATGTGCTGAATCAGAGAAACGTCAATCAAATCCACTGTGGGAAAATCAAGGAAGAAATTAATGAGGATCCTTGCCTTTTCTTGAATGGATTTTTTTTATCAGAAATGCCTAGCTAAGACAAATCTGTAAAATGAAGCCTAAAACAGTACACCATATAAAAAGAAAACCAGTACCTGTGTGAATTGGTTCTTCCACATTGACACAGAGCATCAGGTAGATAAACCATATCAGAGCTGGGACCAGACTAAATATATTATAGAAGAGCTTCCCCAAAGAAAGAAATATGTCCAAAGCCAACAATCTAGTCATCTTCTCTGTCCTACCCTGAAGACCTCATTTGCAATATTGTGCATTTTCAGCAACAGACTGTTTCAAATGGGAAATTCAAGAATTCCATGAAATTTAGCTCAATATGGAATTTACATCCAGTAATTTCAAAGTGAGCTAAGTGACCAGGACTTTACACAATTCTCTGCTTGCATTAATTTCTCCCTCACTTCAAAGACAGGGAAAATGAATACTAACCAGGAGTTTTCTGGTCTATCATATTTCATTTTGCTCTCATTAATTCTTATAGTTCAGTCAATGCATTTTCAATAAGCCATGATTATTTCCAATAAATCAGCTCCTAAGAAACATATTAGAATTTGACGTTTTATGAGCATAATAATACAGATAAAGATTAATAATTGCCAGTGATGTCTACATAGCAGTGTTGCAGATTGTAAAAATAATTTGATTCTCTCATAATTTTAGAATTTCACTAATGTATTTCCATTGACATTCAAAAGAAAAAAAATCAATTTGTATATGAAGCACTACCTAGATTTTAAATGTTCATAATCCATTCTGAAACTCTAAGGTAGAAAATGACAGAGCAAAGTAGCATAATAACTCATGGTGACAGCAATGCAAATTTTATACAGATTCTCCTCCCTGTAAAAGCACAGGATTCTCTTTGGCTACTAACACTGGCAAAGACTTTGTACTGAGCGTAGTTTTAGGGCTGTTCTGTATACGGAGCTCTGAACATCATTGAAGGCCTCTGTGAAAGAAAACAAACACACATTACAATAGAGTGGGTCATTCAAAACTAACTAAAAATCAAAACAACCAAATTTGGAGTTTTGAGTTGATCAACACTCTGAAGGAAAACTGGGGGGGAAATCGAAAACAAAAAGAAAATTTTTTTTTCAAGTAACTCTTTGGAGTGGACAGTCTTCTTGTAAACTGTGACATGATCTCCTGTAAAAGCAGAATTTAACACAGAGAGCACATCTGCTTCTTTGGGAATCAAGTTTATTCACAGATCAGAACAAGGGCTATGATGGTTATGCACTGCACATACTTTTAGCCAAGATCATAATGAAATAATATTTTTTCAGGCAAAAAGGTTTTTTGATCAGAGATACTCTTCTACAAGGAACAGTTTGTCAGTTTGCACAGCAGGGTTATTGTTTTGGATGCATATTGTTTCAAGCATTAAACAAATCAAGATCAACATGTGGGACTCTTGCAGATGAAGACAAGCCATTTACCAGAGCAAATTACTTTTGACATCTCTGTTTAGCAAACCCACTCAATCTGCTTGACTAAATCCCATACCCTTATATGATTTCAGTTTATTTCTTTCACATCAGTAAGGATGTGTTTCTGAATGGAAAGTAAGAGATGCTGACCATGATCTATACTTAATACTTTACTCACATACCTAGAACTTCAAGACCAAAACACAAGGCTTGTTCACTAAACTTCAGAAACTAGAAAGAGATTTATCACTTATCCTTCTGTTTTCAGAGACTCTTTTCTCCCTGTACTTCAGAGAGGAAGAGTTACACACAGTTGGTTAAGGTTAAAGATAAGCAATAAATATGTATAAATGAGTAGAAATAACTCACAAAATACTTCACCTGTTCAGTCTGGAAAGGAGCCAATCTGTGTGCAATGGTTTCCAAGAAATACACTAGATTAATATTAATAGTCAGTAAATTATGGGCTCTGCTGGTTCCCAGATGCTGTCTAAGCTATAGAAAGATGCCAATAACTGCTATACCATCTGTTTAGTCCTGCTCTTGTCATACTATGTTTTGTGATATTATTTGGAGATGTAGTGTAGCATGTCATACAACGTGAAAAATGAGTTTTGACTTCCACGCATCATCAGTTCTCTTTCCTCAATAAACTGATCCAAAGCCCTTTTGAAAGCAACAGAACAACTCCCACAGTTTTCAGTAGGTTATGGATTAAGTTCCAAATGCTTATTTTCAAATACAAATGCTAGAAATATATACACGATTCAACTCAAACACCTTCCATGCACAAGATGATTTTTGAAGTGAAGGGAATATGTTTTAGTAGCCATCTGCTACTTAATTCAAGTCCACCCTTACAGACAAAATGTGGCCTCAAAGTAGGGCATTCTGTGCCTGTCAAGCATAGTTCCAGAATAAACTTGTGAGGACACATAAGTAAAATAGTAAAGTATTTAAGATTTGTTATTGATGAGAGGCTATTTAGGAACATTAAAATATTTCATTTCTCACAGGAAGGGAGCTTCCCCTCTGGACAGAAGACCAGCATGTAATCATTCTGCTGTGAGCCAAATTTCTCCTCACTTTGTTGAGAAGTTGACAAAGGAGCTCCTACACACATAGAAGTGTGCTGATTCCTGACATCTTCAGTTGGTTACCTGTTATTCTGCATTTTGAGGTATTTGCTCTGTGGGAGATGAGGGGTCCGCTGAGATTTTGCACTCAAAAATGGAGTGTATGGCCATCCTTCAGGCCTATTCCAAAGTATGGAAAAAAACTTAGCATTTATTATAAATTAGGGAGCATGGCCCAGTGTGCCTGACCATACCATAAGCCAATGTGATAATGGAAGGAAGGTGCCAGAACAGATCCAACAATAAAGGTAGGACATCACAGCTGTGTAATTTGTCATTTACATGCTACAGCACACAGATTCTCAAGGTGGCATGATTTCATTAAAATTCTGTGGTTTCTGTTCAAAAAAGACACAGAAATGCCTTTTGAGAAAAGTTGGGAAAAAATAAGAAAAATCCTTACCCTGCAAGTCTGGATCCATTTGAAATTTAGCAGATGGCATTAGGCATTCTATAACAAAACAAAGTGTAAAACCACATATTCTAGACAGAGACATATCGAACCATTCAAATTAAACCTTTTAATCTGAACAATTCACTGGATGCATTTCAGAAATTAAATTAAACAGTATTACATTAAACAAAATAGTTTTGGTGCCACATGCAGAGAAATGCCAGCAAATCACAAGCCCTCTGCTCAGCATAAAATAGGAGTAATTCAAGTAACTGCAAATTTGTAGCAGGGCAAAACCTGTCCTCAAAACAGTTTTAAGTACAGGAAACGAGATCTTTATTTTGTTTGCCCAGTGTTTACATGCAGGATTACTACACAGTCCATAGTGTATAATTTCAGGTCACAGAGGGCATATCTACACCAGGCTCTTCCCAAGGTTCATTGATTGCAATTACTCAAAAGTATTTTCTAAAATTTTCAAGCAAAACTAAAGTTTTAGGCTGAGCTGGCATTATTTCTTATTGAGCTGATATGGAAGGTGAAAAGGAAGCTTAACCATGAATCCACTTATTTAGACAACTGTGAAAGCAAAAGTAGTTATGTCCCTGTAATAATGGAAACCAAATATCTCCCCTCAGGATTTATTTCACTAATGGTCTAAACTACATTATATTTCTAATCACAGAAATATAAATCTGAATTAACTGTAGTAACTATCTTTCAGCTAACACTGCAGTTGCAAAACACTAGGTAATAATGGCTCTAAGTCACACAAGATTCCAAAGGCCATCTATATGGCTTATTGGGCATAACAAAGGCAAAAATTGCTAAAATGAATAAAAATTAGATAGTTGGAAATTGTCTAAAACGTAATAAATTTAGTGTTAAATCTGAACTTAAACAAATGTTCACTTCTTACTTTTTTTCAGTGAGAAACATTGATCATTTGTCATAAACATGACAGAATACTGGCCAATTATGAAGCATAAACATTCAACAATCAAAAATTACTGAGTCTGCCATAAATATGCTTCTCACCATTTTAATTGGTGAAAGCTGCAACTTTGTGTTTCAGTCCCTAAATTTCAGTCATAACCTAAATTTAGATACTTAAAATACTGAGATACAGATTTGCTTTAATAGTCTTTTTCGTTCAAGACTATAATGCCACAGTTTTTACTGTAGTCCTTATTTGAAAGAAATACCACTTTTCCTTTTCTTTCTTACTAAGGGTTCTGCAAAACTACAGCTCTGCCCAGCATTTACACAGGCTCATAAGTTTGCCTCTAGATATATATTCACATGCAATATAAATGCAAATGTGATACAACTGTTCCTAAAATAGCTGCAGTAGTAGGAGCCTCTGCATAGCTTGAAAGAAAAGTTCATGTACGGAAATCAATGAAATCAGAAGACACAGAGAATGAATTAAACATAAGAGTTTGGTGAAAGCTACATGTAGCAATCTAGAAGGTAGACTTACAACCACACAGCTTGACCCCTTTATTTTCTCATTCCAGAGGTACATAAAACAAAGAAAGTGAATAGGATGAATATAAAAATATCCAGGTTAAACTCACTTAAATTAGAACTCATTAGAATTTGCTTACTCCAGTAAGAACAGATCCACTGACTTACTGAGTTATACAGCATGCATAATCTATGAGTGCTTGATACTTACTGTAAGATGACCAGATCTCTATCCAGTACAGAACAATGTCTAACATTTAAATTACCCATATGGAAAAACACTCTATAGTCTTGTACTAGGGTATTCATGGTCTCGAAGTTAACCATGTGTTTATGTGTTTTACCAAACTGGCCATCATTGTACAGCATCATATCTATGAACTCTCCCTCCAAAAATTTAAAAAGACATTATTAATGTATGTACAGTCCACACTTTCATATACAAAACTCTGTAGAAAGTCCAGATCTTGACTGCAGTAGGAGTGCCTGGGTGAAATGAAGAGAATCTACTTGAGTGTTAGCACATGAACACCATGAAAGCAGAAGCAGTATCTGCTGCCAATGAAATCTGAAGTAACTTTGCCCATTGATACACTATTTCAGCCTGTGTGTTATTTTTCAGTCATTTGTGTGCTTTAATAGCGAAAAACACTTAAGAAAACAAACAGAAAGATTAAAATTATGTACAAATGTTCAGGAAATAAATTGCTACAGTTAAAATCCTGGTCCCATTAATACGAATACTCATAAGCAGAACAAGGATAACCTTTTTCTTGACTCTTAGTGGAATGTGAAAGAAAAGTAACACTTGATTACTTACATGTACTTTCTTTGCCTTACAGGTTCTCAGAACATGTACTTTAGCAAATAAAATGCATTTTGAAGCATGCTACATAATTAAAGTACAGAGAAAGACAAGCCACATGAAGTAAGACAGAAACCTCCCAGCAGATCAATTGACTTGATCACAGAGACTTTTATTCTTTTGAAATCAGACAACATATGATCAACATCTTAAATATGCATAAAAGAACCTACAATTACTTTTGTTTCCTGTGAAGGGTGAAAACATTCTGTGCTCTGTTCAAAGGCCAAAATAATTGCTTCCTCTTAAATACAGTAGCTGTGCTTACCTTCCTCTCATTACTTACTAAAGGTCCAGAAGTCAGATGACACCTCCAGAGAAGTCCAGTAGTTTTACAGTACTTAAAAGTTGACTTCAAGACACAGTTCTAAAGGTTTTGCTTTTAAGTTAAAGCTGCTCACAACAAATGCCTAGCAAAGGCCCAGATCAAAGTATCAGGTAATTGTCTAAGCAGTCAAAACAGAGAACACTAATTAATTAATAATAAATATCTTGAATTATTAAAGATAAAACTTCTTTGATCTTTTTTCAAAGCTTTTTTTTTTTTAATAGTTGGAGTGCAATATTTCTAAATTGACAGGCCTTTACAAAGCATCTCCCAGTTGCTGAGAAACTGTTGCTATAGAGACTGAAAATGAGGTAGAAACTGACATAGTAATGCAGAAAGCATAGTGTGCTGTAACAAAGAGTTGGGGCACCTATACAAAGAAGAAAAATAGTAAGCCCTAGTGGCAATGTCCTAGAACAAGAATTGTTCAGTCCAACCACAAAGCTCCTCAGTACACTCAAATGCTAGGGTTTATGAGGAATCTATATATAGCATTTGTAAGACATATACAACTTAAAGCTCTTTTCCATAAATTTTTCAACAGTTACCATAACACCCAGGTAGTAGGAGTCATCAATACTGTGAATATCCTGTATACATAACATGACTTAGAGACTTGTGAAAAAATCTGTCCCAGAAATTGCTTATTACTTGTAGAAAACCCAAACTTACTGATGATTAAGTCAATTGCTGTATTACAACTGTAACTAACTTTGAATAGGTTACCATATTTTAGCTTTCCTATTATATTTTATTTCTTTTTCTCCTAAACAAAAAAAGCTTTTCCGTTCACTCATGCTTCCATGAGGAAAGACCTGAATTTTCCTGCAGACCACCAGACAAATCCAGTTAGCATAATTTAGGATACATGAGACATCACAAACAGCTTTTTCTTTCTGCTCCCAGTCTCTGAGAAGAGGTTTTCAGCTGGTGACTCAGAAGTCAGATAAGCCTACTTATATATTGCAGGAAGAGCTATTTTGCCTCTCATTAACAGCTGTGAAGCGTTGGTGCTTGAACTCATCTCCACAGGCAGAATAAAAGAATTCAAAGAGTAAGATTGCTAAAGCCTATTCATATAGAAAAAGCCCAAATGTAAATACACATTAGAGAAGCTAACTTTTCTACCTTGGAGAAGGAATTATAGAAAAATCAGGTCATTTGTAGAGACTACTGGTAGCATCCTTCCCTGCTATTTTTTCCTGAAACATCTGCCTCCAGATGCTCCTCAGAAATTCAGCCAATCTTCTGTGCATACACTACTGGAAACTAATTCCCTTGACACCACTTCCTCATGAAATAAATGGTTCCTAACCCTTGTCTTCAAGACTTTACAACACCTACCTCTACAATTTCCATGTGAACTCTTCCACGAAGATACTTATCATAGTATCTCAGTTCCTCTAAATGTTGCTTCTCCCCTGTACACTTTTCATAAAACCCCACATTCTTCCAGGTCCCTTGTGATACCCCAGCTTTCTAAGACCAGTGACACATCCCTCCTGGTCCTGTCCTAATTAGCCAGTAACTTCTCTTGGTTTCCTCATAGAAGAAGTCTACCCCTATTCAGAGTTTGAACCTCCATTTGAACAGATATAATGAATTTATTGCAATTATATGTAAATGATTCAAAGAACAGGAAGCTTTCTATTTTGTTTTAAATATATCTGGCAAAAAATTAGCAAGTACAGTAACATTTCATTAACACAGTCTCCATCATTTAAGACACCAAAGATGCAAGTAAAAGTACTTCCTCAACAATTCTGTTTAAACAAGAAATTAATTATGTTTGACTTAAAACATGTGAGTATACTCTTGAAACTCATTAAATACATAAGAAAAACAGGGAAAGAAAGATTAATTTGTCACTAAGTAGATGTATAGACATATTTTTGTGTTTAAAATCAATTTTGCTTAAGAAGATACTTTATTACAAAAGTATTGTGTTTCAGTACCTTTAAAAAATATTTGGAATTATAAAACTTCTACTCTGTATGTGACAATCCTGCTCCAAATTTTCATATGAACATTATAGGTATTAAACCATATTTTTGCAATAGTTTATTGAAATAAGAAATAAGTAGTTGGATACAAATCATAGACTCATTAAAATCAGTAGAAATTTTACTTTGGTCTAGAGGTTAAAAATGTTACATTCACACTGGTTTTGAAATATTTTTCCACCTAGAGATATCCCAGAGTTTTTTTAATGAGGAAAATACTGCAGAAGTTACAGCAATGCTTAGACTTTCTTTCCAGTTTGCTCTTTTGAGCAATGGAAACTTTATTTTAATATGGGAATTTCTAGCATTTTCTCTTCCGGACAATTCTAGCTAAAGTGACCCAGTAGGCAAGGTTTCCATTTCTGTAAAAAAAAGCAAAAGCATAAGCTATTTTTGTTAGCTTCCTAAAATACTTCCACATGCAAGGAGATTAAGCAGGACACTTTGGGAATGCTTGAACACCTGATACTGATGTCACAAGAGAAGGTCGCAACTAAGCACATCACTGCTAGCAGTGGGAAGGCCTCTGCTTAGCATTTAATGCTGACACAAGAGGAATGGGACAGCTCCACAGGACAGCAGTGCCATACAAGTAGAGAGTAGACAGGGAAGGACACTCTTACCTAATTGGGAATTCCCTGTCTGGGTTAAACAAGGCCATGTTTAGCCAAATAATTAAATTCTGTATTCATCAAGAACATCTTATTGTGTCTGTAGTTCTTTCCCAAGAAAACAGCATGGAAAACCCAAAAGCTTTGTGCTCAGTAGAAGCTTTGGGTATCTAACTTCGAAGAGTTTCCTCATTCTTCAGCCTGTCCTTAACAGAGAAGAACAGCTTATAGAACAGAAAGGATTGATATAAAAGTACTGGAAAGAATCTGAATGAGGTGAGAAAGAAAACAAACTAAGGAAAAGGTCTGTAGGAATGAAAATTTGAAAGAAATGGCGAGAACAAAAGTGCAGGAATTTCACAACCTGAAAATAGAGAAAAAGTGAAAAAACAAAACTAAAACATGCTTTAGTGTTCATCTGTTCTTATTTTGATGAAGGAGGACAGAGAACTTGAAAAGCAAATTAAATAGCAAAGGCAATAGAGAAAGACTTGGGAGAAGATGTGGAGTTTTTATTCGGCTTCATATGGTTGCATTTCGTTTATTTCCTTTAGTGCAACGAGCTTTTCCTAAATGGAAGAAAAAGCACTTTTAATACTACTCATTCTTTTAATCTGCCTTAATATCTAGCACAAACTTAAAATACGTTAAAACAAAATATTTTCTATATATTACTAGTATGACTGAAGATCACAAAATCTGATTAAAGCTGGAATATAGAGTTTGGGACAGTCTTTTAAAATATTTCAATAGTATAAATAATTTCTTTTTGTCTCACTAAATGACAAGAAGTTCATGATGAAAATAGTGCTCAATAATGTAGCATTTTCTGAAAAATCCCTAATTCTAGTAAGGTCTGGTCCTCATTCATGCAGAGTCACAGTCATAAAAATGCCAAAAGATATGTCTTCTATCATAGAAATACTCTGAATACCACATAAGGAAAATCAACATAGAACGTAGAAACATTAAATGAAAGGCAATATTTCTGTTTTGCACAAAGCCTGCAAGACTTTGGAGGGCAAATTCTACACATGAGCTTATTTTATCATCTCCTTTTTGGGCAGAAGAACAGTTGTCTGTTCATTTCAATACACAAATACTACCTTACACTTTACCATTCCTAAGTGCAGTTTGTACATTTAACAACAAGAGGTCTCAGTGTTCAAAGTTGTATCACAACGAATGATCATGTATCACCTATAGGTGGCAGAATGAGCATACACGAGACTCAAGACTCCCTCACCTGAACCAGCTCGTGGGACAACCGTCTCAGAACTTTTTGAGTCGTTTCATCAATTTCTAATTCTGTCACGACTTCCCAGTTACCATTCTGGAACCTCACTGGCATAGAGCAGGTAATTCCTTCAGGAATGCAAAACTGACCTAAAGAAGAGGGGGAAAAAAATGACAAAACACATTATTTCTGATTACATCCTCACCAGTGTCAACATTAAGTCCTACAGACTTGCAAAAGTCTCCAACTGTAAGATCTCATTATAAATGGAGACTGCCTTTTTTAATCTACGGTTCAAAAAAGAATGTCTCTTACTGTAACTTTGTACTTAATTAGATGTGCATGAATCATAGCATCAGATGGGTTTGGAGTGCAAAGGACCTTTAAAGGTCTCCAGTTCAAGCCTCCTGTCATGGGCAGGGACATCTTCAAATGTATCTGAGGCCATCCAACTCGATCTTGAATGTTTCCAGGGTTGAGGCATCTGCCATCTCTCTGGGCAGCCTGTTCCAGTGCCTTACCACATTCATTGTAAAAAACTTAATTATATCTAATCTAAATTGACCCTCCTTCACTTTAAATCCATTACCCCTTGTTCTATTGCAACAGGTCCTGCTAAAACATTTGTCCCCATCTTTCTCATAAGACCTTTTAAGATTTAGAAGGTGCTATAAGGTCTCTCTAGAGCCTTTTCTTCTCCAGGCTAAACAACCTCAACTGTCTCAGCCTGTTTTCATAAGAGAAGCTTTCATCCCTGTGATCATTTTGTGTGGCCCTCCTCTGGACCATCTCCAGCAGGTTTCTTTCCTGTGTTTTAATAACACAGTTGCTGTATCAGTTGTACATCTTACAGGGAAAAAAATAGTTATTTCATAAGGGTTAAATGGCTGCTGTGAAATATTCCATTTATTGGTTTACATAACTACACAAGAGGAACACACTTTCATAGCCTAGGCTCTAAGAACTATAAAGAGTTCTTGCATGAAACACATACATCAGAAAAGCATTTAAACTAAAAGATTAAGACATCATCTGCAAAAAGACAATATTAACCTAAGAGATGCCTGCAAAAAATCAGCATTATCACAAGCTCTGTTAGATTTGGAAGTTCTTATGATGAAACAAACCCTTAGCCTCACATGATTTGTTTTACAAGTATTTATTCAATGAAAAATATTGATTAAAAATAACATTCTAGACAGGGGAAAGCTATTACATGGAGGGCAAAGCTACAAGAGAACATGTGAAACAAAACTAGCTTTACCTTCACTAAGTATTCCCAGAGAAATGATCTCCCCAGGAGAGCCATGGTACCAGTATCGCAGTACTGTGGCTATCGCATGAGCAGGTAACATTGCTGTGCAACGGGACACCCGGGAACTCAGCGTACTCTGTGCAGACAGGAATTCTGAATGGATCCATTCGCTGCCAGCAAAAAAATGGAGAAAAAAAGAGATGAAAAACTACAATGGTTGCAGGAAGAGTAGTTCCCCAGAGAAATAAAATAACTAAACCCGAGGAAAATAAATAGTCAAAACTTAGTCAAACTTCACTGCTGAAGAAACAGAGAAAAAAAAGGTCTAACAAAAAGTAGCTTAAAAGGTAACAAGTCCTACTTTACCATGGAAGTTAGGTCATTTACTCAAGTCATAACCTCTATTATTATTGTGATGCATATTTATATGTAATTTCTATATTACTGTCTTACATAAGAACCCAGTCATGAACCTGTCTGCCTGTATGAGGCTTAGTACAAGACATGACATAGACATGTCTGCTCCCCATTAAATGCTAAGTCTAGACCAGAGTGGGAGCTCCAGATAGCCAGGCCTGGGTGTATGTCACATCTACTGCCCTCTCACTGCACCCACTCTTTCTCTGCTACTGTTCTTTCCAGAGGAAGCTATCTAGCTGCCAGGTATCCTCTTCACATATATTAACAAATCATCTGTTTTGGGAAACTGACAACATTAGTATGCTCAGGCCTATTCCATGTAATTCAGGTACAGATACCTGTTTAATATAATTTCAAAATTCCTTTATGCAAACTAGACATCTAAGTCACCACCTTCAATTACTTCTTATAAACTGCTCATGATATAAGAGACACCCACTTAAAATGTAGGAAAAATATAGTCTTAAAAAGAGTTGGCAGGAGAGTCAGAACTATGCACAGCATTAGAACTACCCAACTTCTTTTGCAGGTGGAGTACCTCAACTTGTGTTTTCCTTTATGAGCAGTGACAATCAGTAAAGACAAATCTTGAAAACAAAAACCTTTCTTAATGTTTTATTACACATTTCAGATAAACATGGATTTAAAGCACTTATTTAATTTTACTTGAAATAAATAAATCTGTACTGTACCTATCATAAATCATATTCAACAAAGGATGTTGAAAATTAGGAGGGCCCCGAATAGCACAGTCATATCCATAAAGTTTTGCATGTGACAAATCAATGTAGTTAGACCCAGTAATATTGCCCCAAACAATCACATCTTTTACTCCTGTAACAAAGGAAAGTGAAGAGACAAATAATTTCAGAGAAATGGGCTTCAGAAATCCTTTTCAAAATGAATTATTCAAATCTGTGCCTTGCCTTGCTAGCAGAAATTATTTGATCTGAAAAATCAAGTTCTCCATAACATATGAAACCTCATCACAAGCTGAAAAAGGAGCTGTAATTTATATCATGTTACTGTAAATAATAGTCAAAATCTAGTAAATATTTAACTCTTAAAACAGTAACAAATCATATTGCAAACATACATCCTGTAAAAACATAAATATATAAACAATAAAAACAATCATTAAAAAGATAAAAATTACCTGCTTTGGTGCAAAAGGGTTTTCTCAAATAACCTGCTGATAGGCTATTCAGCCTATTAACTTGCTTTTCTATTTTATTAGGCTCCAAAATATCTAGACTTGTCATCAATGACCAGTTCTAGCTATTCAAGACTTACAGAATCCTGACGCTGAGCAGACTGTCAGAGCACACCTTTGCTGTGTAGTGCAGGAATGTGCAAATATAACGAAGCTATAACAATTGACCCGAAAATGAAAGCTAATGAACCTCAAAATAATACCACAACGAGTTCTAGTTTACTCTCATTATCTGCACAGCAGTATGTTGCCATGTTCATTCACAGCTCCAAAATAACAATGCACTACAGAGTGCAAATGCAATCTCCAATCTCCAAAATAACTGTCTTCCTTAGCATATTTCCAGCATTAAATACACATCAGAGTGGCAGGACTTCATCTCAGAGCAAGCAAAAGACACTCTGGCATTCTGTACAGCCAAGAAATTCAGTGGGTGCACCTCTGTGCCTTTCTGCATGCACATCAACTGTGTTCTGGAATGAAATATGTACTCTCAAAGGTGAGCTGAATTCCCCAAATGCTACATAACCATTCACCTGCTGTGCTCATATTCAGCTTCCTGGCCAGCATGGCTTTAGCTGCACTTTCCCAGGATGTGGCAATGGCAATGATATTTTCAGGCCTAATGGATGGGCCATATATCCTTAACATTGTTGCCTTAAGGTTTGCAAAGGTTTTTCCTGATGAAATGACTTTCACCTCACTCTTGGCATTCTTCTCAATCAAGGGAGCATACACTTGGCAGATCTCACTCACTTCTCTGATGTAGTTCTCAAGGGTTTGGACTTCAAGGTTTAAGAGGACATCATCAAGAACAATGATAACATCAGCATCGATAAAAGCCTGATCTAATCCCGTGTGCTCTGAAATACTGCGGAGAAGTGGGAATGCCATGTCTTCAGCTTCCATTACAATACTGCGAAGAATTTCCTTAAACTGGACAGTGTCAAGCAAATGGATACTGATTTCTGTGGTCATCCCAAACACTTCTCCATTTGCCAACAGAGGGATCAGATGATAACAGATTGGAACTGATGCACTGATAAGAGAGGATGCAGAAAAGTTACAGTTAACAATGAACCACTGCTTGTTTGGAAGTATTACATAAACACAAAGGTGTTTGCTTTGTAATAGATTACATTTAAAGATACCATTAGCTTGGATCCTTTACTACTCTTTTTTGTCATTTTGGCAGGTTAAGAATTAAAACTGTTGGGTCCTCCTTTCATTTGAAGGTTTCTCCATCCTGTGCATTTCAGTTGATGCCATCACTTAAAAATTTATGTCTTCACAGAACCACAATCTTTTAAGGTGCTCTCTTAGGACTACTAGAAATACAAGGATTTCTAAAAGTAAAGCTGCAAGAGACTTTACCTACTCTAATATTTCCAACAACATTTAATGCAAGATAGTTGCACTATAAAATTTCTAGTTTATTTGTAAATACTTACTTTCCCCTAAACGGATCTGAGGTCTAAATAATGCCTGTTCATACTCTTCATTCGAAGTGGTGTAAAATGTAACAAAACTATAAATTATTTCTATGTTATATACTATTTGCTCATAGTGAGAGGTGCAGAACCCAAGGCAAATAATCAAATTACAGGGATTTGTGTTTAACTTCAGATGGTTACACCTGTTCCATGTGATAGGAAAAAGTGCACTCTTCTGAACAGAGTAAAAGTTCACAGATACTCTCTTCACTCTCACCTCGTGATCCAGATCTGCATAGGCTTAATAAGACTTTTAATCTCTTCATCCTCTTTTACAATTTCAAGATGTGCCTGCAGGTTTTCTTCAGCAATGTCTAACATTTCCTCACTCAGCATCATTGAAGTGATGCCATAATATTGCTAAGAACAAAAAGGATGATCTCTAATCAAACGGCAGTCCAAACCCATCAAGGCAACATTGCAATAGCTTTATTTTACATTTGAGGGAGGAAAAAGGAACAACAATGTTGCAAAACACGGGCTTACAGTATTAAAGGTAACTTATTACCTGAGCATATTCCAGAAAATCATTAAGTCCTCCCAGAAGCTGACCCTTCCCTCCACGGTCCAACAGTTCTCTCCAAATGATAGGACACTGTCTGTGTTCCCATCCATTTGTTTCACAAATGTCATGAAGCCACTGCTGATGTAAACATTCCCACCAGATGTTTTAATACATCACATCTGATAACATTTAAACATTACAGCTACAAGCATTCTTACTATTTCCTCTCAAGATATAATTACAAGGTGCTTCAGAATTTGTGTACCAGTGGGTACAAAATGAGGGAATAACATAAAGCAAGATATGTTGATACACTGGAATAGTTTACCTCAAGGTCTTGATTTCACTTAGTTGTCTGAGTGGTACAGAAGACAGCAATGTTGTGAAGCAGTGAGTAATTTGAGTATTCTTACTCAGCCACAGAAGGTAAGTAAGGTGAAGAGGTTAATTGCTTTTCACTGAACTATTTAAGTTATTTGGTGGAGGTGTCAAGCAAAATATATAAGGGAATAAATACCATAGTACTGTCTATCTCATGGAGTAAGACTGCATTTTTTTCAGAGCCTTATAGGCAGCATGCCTACAGCGTAAGTACTTAGATAGGCCAATCCACACTCCAAACAAATATGTGATATTTAACTTTATACTTTCACTGTAATTCAAAGCCCTTGAATGCTACAAAGGCTCTTGACAAGTAACAATTCTGAAGGTATATGTAATCACAGTGAGCAAAAGATTTATAGGCTGAGCAGACATTTATACTTAAAAAACCAACCAAGCAAAAAAAACCCAGAAAAATAACCAAGTAGAACCACCTTGAACTTTTTTCTTGACGTAATACAGGTTTAGGCTGGTCCACATTTTGTGCCCATCTTCTCTGGTAAAACTCAGAGATGTCAGTTCCTCAAAACATTGTAACCTTTCCTCTGGCTGCCTCTCATAGCCAAAGCTGCTCCTACAGCACCTCTATCCACATAGCAAACCGCAAATAGAAGAGAAGAAGAAAGGTACTACAGGTAAGCAGATTTCTTGGTTTGTAGAGCACTGGGGCACCTACCAGCGATTTGATTTACAATCCCTTACCTCCCACTTGTCAGGATGCTGAATAATCTTGTGAACCCTGAAGTTGGGCAAGTTAGTCTGGAGATAGTCAGCCAGGAGTTCAGCCTTGGCATAGTAAGGGCAGTTTGCCTTACCTGTGAACATAACAACAGCAGCGCAATTGGATGATTTTGTCATTCACTGATAAGGGCTTAAAAGATCAAATGTTGCTTAACGTGAGCCGGCTAAGGAAGGGTAATTCTGCAGGTGAACAGACTCCATAGCCAGCGTCCAAGGGGCCGAGGAGGCCACTCCTGGGGGGACACCACTCCTGGGGGGACAGCAGCAGAGAGGCTGACGCCTCACCGACGGGTAAGGGGAACGCTGATCCGGGACCGGCTGAGGCTGCGCGCCACGCAGAGAGGGGCGACTGCTGCAAGCACGGCGGCTACCCGGCCCGGCTCCCGGTACAAGGTACCGGTACAAGGTGCCGCTGCCGGTGCTGGAGTCGCTGCCTCCGGGGCTGCCCCGCCCGGCTCCCGGTACAAGGTACCAGTACAAGGTGCCGCTGCCTCCGGGGCTGCCCCGCCCGAGTCCCGGTACAAGGTAGTGGTACAAGGTAGTGGTACAAGGTACTGGTACAAGGTGCCGCTTCCTCCGGGGCTGCCCAGCCCGAGTCCCGGTAAAAGGTGCTGGTACAAGGTGCCGGTGCCGCTGCCTCCTGGGCTGTCCCGCCCGGTCCCGGGTCCTCCCTCACCCGCCACCACGAACTTGGCCATGCGCGCGCCGCCCTCCAACGGCCGCTTTGGCGTTGCTCAGCAACGCGCCGCGCGCAGCAGCAGTTTGTCCCTCGGCAGGCGCCGTCCGTCTCGCGCGGCCCGCCGGGAGCTCGCGGCACTGCGGGCCCGGTGTGACGGCGGCGCCGCGTGCGAGGTAACAGCGGCCGCCGGGATCCCCGGCCCGGCCCTGCCCTGCCCTGCCCGGCCCCGCCCGGCCTTGCCCGGCCGGCGCCATCCCCGCCGTTCCTCCCGCGTGCTCCGAGCCGCCGCGGAGCCGCCGGAAGACCTCTGTCCCCGTGTACTGTCCCGCCCTGCTGGGCAGCGCTCCCCGGGCAAGCGGGAAGTGATCCCGAAACCCAGCGGCTTCTCCCCGGCGCCGGGAGCGCGAGCGCCCGCGGGTGTGCTGTGAAGACGGCTTTCCCGTGGGATGGCAGGCAGGCTGGGACAGGCTGGCAGGCGGGATCCCGTTACCCGCTGCTGAAGGTCTGCAGGGACCCCCCAGGGCCCTGTCGGGAGACGCGTGTGCCCGGGGAAACGTCCTTTAGGAAAAGACTCTGCTTCCCGGCAGAGCTCTCAGGTAGAGCAGCAAGGAGGAAGTAAGAGTTGATCTCCGGGCTGTCCTACTACTGATATGTTTGACTGAAATGTAGGAGACCAAGCCTCTCTGCAAACCATTTTCCGGGGATCTTTTAGCAAATCTTCTCCCTTCCTGTAAAATTGCGCAGATTTGACAACTGAAACTGGGGGAATTGAAAGTCTGGTAACTAATCCGTAATTTTCAATTGTTTTTACAGATGAATGATCTTGTGCAGTTTCTCCAGAACTGTTTCCACTGATAGAATGTCATCAGATCCCTTACTTTGAGTTGGCGTTTCAAATCTATTAATGAGATATTAGCAAAAATGAATAATAAAATAAATTATTTGTTAAATACTGTTAGATGTGTACATAGGTACAGTTCTGTGCTCACTCCCAAATCTTCAGCCACAATAAGAAAACACATTTTATGGATTGGCAGATACAGGGATCCCTTAGAAAATGTGAACTTAAGGAAATTACTTTTAAATACTTTGCCTTCTCTACGTGGATCATCTCTTCGATATCTATCTCAAAAGACAGATGTTTATAGCACAGGTGCAGAGGCTTTGGTGAGTGAGAAGACTTCCCAGAGCTCCTTGGAAGTTGAAAAGTTGGATGATTCTGGGAGCTTCAAGCCGAAGCACGCAGTAGATCATAGTGACCCGTTCTTTATCAGTCTCCGGAAATGCACCTGTCCTTGCGATGCTCTGGACTTGGCTTCAGAGGCGGCTGTTTCCATTAAGCACTACACAAACTCTTTAACCATGGCCTGGAGGCTCTTCAAAAACCTGTCGGAAGAGCAGCAGCGCTACGAGAAGCAGCTGATTTTTGAGCACCCGGCGTTCGTGAGGCTGTGCCAGCAGCTGCTGCGCGACGCGCGCAGGATGACGCGCGGGGACCTGGTGTTCAGCCTGCACGCCCTGGTGAACCTCGGCGTGCCGCAGAACACGCTCCTCGTCCAGACCTTGGTGAGAGTGTGCCAAGTAAGTATGAAAATCCTTCTCCTAAATTTGGGCTGAATTACCAGTGGGTAATTCTGGGAAGCTGTGCAGCATCAGACAGAGTTGGATTACATCCTTGATGTTCCATGGAAATAGTTCCCATAGTTCATTTATGTGTGCTTCTAATTTCGTTAACTTTTGAAACCACTGCCTGATTACAGATGTAACAGAAAGGATAAGTCTCAAAAATCATTACCCCTTTCAAATCAACTAAGTTTGACTGATGTGAGATGTTGTTGGTTATGCAGAATTAAAGCTTATAAGTTGACTTTTGAGGAGTAAAAGAAAAAATGGCAGGTACGGATTAAGAGTGGTCAGTTTTTCTTTTCTAAAACTTTTACTGGTTTGAAGTAATCTGACACTGTCAACACTTTTAACAGGAGAAGCTCAATCAACTTGATAACCGATGTATCTCAGTTTTGGCAACTACTTTACCAGGGATGGATAAAGACAAGAATGTGAGCGCTCTTCAAGCTGGATTACAGTGAGAAAAATACATCTTTCGTGTGCTTTTCCTATTTAAATGTTGTTTGAATGCATGTCTGTTAGAAATCATCAAGAGTATGTCTACACCTAAAATACATTGTGGTTTTAGGATTTAAGTAATCATATGAGATAAGAGCTGTGTTAGACAGTGAATTTTGGCATTGTCTGTGCAGTTTCAAGGAGCACGGCTTCTAGTGGTAAAGGGTGCTAGACTGGTCCGCAGGGGGTCTCTGTGTTCTGACTGCAGCTCCACCAGTGTCGTTTTTTTGTGATGCTGATCAAGTTCCTTGATAGCTATCCCCTTTTTCTTCTGTATGCAGGCAGGAGGTAATGATACTATCTTACTTAGGGACTTCTCTGATTTTTCATGAAGAAAAACATTGTTTAACAGCCTGGGAATATTTTCTTACAATTTAGTAAGAGGAAATTCAGATGAAGACTAGTTGTGTCCAGCAAGTCCCTCTGTGTAGTGATTTATCAGAATAACTTCTTTGGCATTTTTTTCTGGGCCCATGCAATTTAAGTGTGCAAGCAATATGCTCACTCCCATGAGATTGATTTTACTGAGGCTATCACAAAACTTGCTATGGATTAGTACTTTTGACCCTGTACCACGTTCTGTTTTGAGAAGGTGGATGTGATACCCAAAAAACAGGTTCTCCTGGAAGCGCAGGCACACAGTTCTTAAAAGTTGGTGGAAAGCAGGGGTCCCATCTACAGTTTTCTGTCCTGATGTTTGGAGCTCTGGCCCATTTGCAGGGATGAATTTCAGACCAGTGCACTGCCTTAGAAAGTGACACTTCATATTTTTGTAGGTATGTTTACCTGTGCAGGTATATTTAAGGGTAGTTCAGACATAACAATTACAATACCACCCACCGAGCCCAAAACGGATGTGCTAGGAGTGCACCTTCATCTTGTGTGTATGATCTCCATGTTATCTCCTTCTGTTCAGCCCACAGCACTGTTTGGTTTTACTCCTCACTTGCATCCAGTTTTTGTCTGTGTCTGTTACAGAGCTTGCCTGCACATTGATGATTTAAAGATAAAAATGTGCAATTTTCTTTTTCTGCAGAAGGGTGTTAATTCCTTGAGGCTTAAGAGCACTCATATTTGCACTGTCACATGTGCAGTTTGGTCAGGTTCCCCTGCTGTTAAGTGTATCAGCAACAACATTCATCTATCAGGATTAACATTAAGAAAGCATTTATAATTGTTTCCATGTGTAAAATATCTGTGCTGCAGCTATGTCATGTAGAGTTACGTTAGCATTTCAAAAAAAGGAAGATGGGACAGGAGCAGGGAATTATATCTTTAACTTGGGGGGTACATCAGTGAAGAAGAATGGGGGTACTTAGCCATTTCTGCTGAAATGAGAACTCTTGTGTGTGTTTCTCCATCAGGTTACTAGTGGAGCAGCGCATTTCAAGTATCAGAGACATCTTTATTCTGCAAAACCTGATGAGGTGCCTGGGAAAAGATGCTCCAGTTTTTCTGAAAAAGAAATTAGAGGTAAAGTTAGTTGGAGGCTCTTATTTTTACTCCTACAAAGCCTGTGCTGTTGCATCAGTTATAAATTGTGTATGGTTCTTTGCAGACACTGAAAGAGAAAATGTAATAGAAAGATAAGTGTATTTTTTATATGCATCATAGTCCAGCTATATCTGTAGGAAGAACTTATATTTAGAGGCTGGTAACAAAAGGAATTGAGGCATTAAAACAGCAATGCCCTCACCTCTTTGGATTGGCCATGTGGTGTTTCATAGAAGTGCTTACAGGCACTGATTCCCTTGCCCAGCCTGTGGCTAAAGATGAGGTGACAGAAAACTGGTCTGTGATAGGCCTGTGTCCAGTAACTGTACAGGGCAGGAGGACTGGTGGGAGTGAGATGCCAGAACTCCCCGAGCTCATGGTCTTGTTTTCCTCTATGTGTGATGGGTTCCCTGGGAAATGCAATGGCTGGGAGCAGGCTGTAGGTGTTGATGGCAGGGTGTACTGGGTTTTGTCCCCCGATTTAAAAACTCTTTTGGAAACCTTTCAAACAGGGCTTGCTAGTGTTTTCATCACATAACTGAAGGGCTCTGACGTTAGAGGTTTTAATAGCATTCATGAAACGTCATAAAACTGAGAGGAAAATAGAATTTGCACTTGTTAACTAAAGCGAGCACTTAATTTTGTGAGCCCACAAGGTGCTATTTTTTTACAGGGCAATTTCGTATTATAGTTGCATTTTGTATTTAACCTCTGATATGTATACAGTAAATATATTGTATTTTAACAGCCAGTATAGTTTGTAGTTTCATTTTTACTGCCATTTATATCAATCTAATGATGACTTTGATAAATGAAATCTCCTTTCTGGCTTCAGAGCTGACCTTCTCTGCCTCAGTCCATGTACAGACCACTCACATACTGTTGAATCACTTTGGAGGCTTACAGCTTTCATGCACGTGCAAAACCATCATTGGACTACTGTGAACTTTTAAGTTAACTGTGTCTGTTTCATTTCTGCTACTTTCTTAAGAGTTGGTAGAAGATGTGTATTCACAGTATTTGGAAGTGACCTTTACTGAGACTTTTTTCTTTTAAAATAACTATATAAAGGCAAATTGCTGGAAATTTGTGTAGTAACACATTTCTAGAGCACTTGACCTGCTATAATTGTGTAATAAGAAATTGACAGTAGTTATTATATGCTTTTACTGTTTTTTGCTTCTTTTTCTTTCCTATAAATCTGAACTAAGGACTTTGGGAAAGTTTTGGTGATAATGTCTTCACCAGAAAGCAATGATAATATGCCTGAAGAATGAAGGATTTAATAAACTCTGGTTCACTTTAGATGGCAGTTGTGAGAGAAATAGATGGTTTGACTTTTCCGAATGCTCTGCGTATGTTTTTGGCTCTTTCTGCAATGAATTATTGTTCCCTTCCAATCCTGAATCCCTGCAGTAAAAAGATCCAGGGTAAGAAAAAAATATGTTAATTAAATTTCCCTTCCTTATACCAAATTCTTCCTAATTATTGTCTCATCTCCCTTTTCTGATTTCCTTTAAAATTCAGGAAACATCTTTGTTTCACAGGATATTATAGTTATGTGGAGCCATTTGACAAGCAGCAGGACAGAAAATTACTGATCAATAATAAAAGCAAATATCTCTTGTCATCTCTGCCTGTCTTAACATTTATCTGAATTATATGCTTTTCTTCACATTTTTCTGTACACAGGATTTAAGAAAAAGAATTTAATTTTAGCAAGGAAAAGAGATTTCAAATAAAATTTTATAACAAATCTGAATTGGAAATCAACAACTTACAGGATGGATTGCTTAGTGTGCTTAGTTGGTAAACTAAAGGGAAAATAGCATTTCCTTGATTACTGGATTTAATTATTGAGTACTGCTTAATAAATAATTAACCTCATGCTGTAGCCCGTAAAAGTATTAAATGAAAGCTAATGCATTCACCTCTCTATACCTTTGCAATACATTGCTGAAGTGTATGTAGTCAGTATGTGTTGATTCATGCTTAAAATACATAAGAATTTGTGTCTCAAAAAGCATTAAGATAGCAAAATAGCATTCTTAATAGAAATGATCCAGAAGCATTAAGGCTGCTTTTACAGTCTTTATTTGTCCTGATCGTTCATATATATTAGGACACAATGTTTAATTGCACATCCCGGCTTCTCCCATAGGGCTTCCACCACACCCAGCACACAGGCCTGGTGGCATACCCAGAGGGAACAGTGACTTTCTTCAGCATTTTTTTAGTGCATGCTGAAAATCAAAAATCCCAGAACAGAAGACATCCTGGGAACACAGTCTTCTTACTTATTTTGTTAATTTGTCCCCTTTTGCTGATTATTATAGCTTGATTCTGACTCAGTTTGGTTTCTACTGTCTCTCAGTTTCTTAATGTGTTTTAGCTCAGTTGAGCTTTGCCTAGCTAGTCGCAGTCTTCCACAGTTTCTTATCATATTTTTCCCTCCTCATCCCTTAACCAAACTGTTCCCACAATGTCTCAATGTCTCCAACCTACAGCTCCCATTGCTTTTTATCATTTGTCCTTCTTTGATCTTCTGTTACAGAAAACGTCCATGATATTCCATTTCGGCAGTTAATTCTCGTTCTGGAAGCTTGTTACACTCTCCAGTACCGTAATGTAAAACTGTTTTCAGCATTAGCAGACTATGTTAATTCTACTGCCTACCTTTGGGACAAAAGACAGGTAAATTTTTGAGACCAAATAATTTATAGTGGTACTAATAGAGTATTGGTGCTTCCATCTTACCTTTCTTCATTTTGTGCTAGATCTTTGGAGAACAAATGTTTATGAATACCAATCTGATGAAACTGATAGTTAGAATTTTAAAATGCTGTTCTATTTATTGACAAGTAAGGAAACAAAAGTTTTGAAAAAATTGCTTTCATTAAAAATGTATTCTGTGAAACCAACAGGTAGGATCAACTTCATTGGTTTTCTTGACTTATAAAACTATCTTTTCTTATAGATTATCCTTTTTCTCTCTGCCTGCGAGACACTTGCATTTCAGCCTACTGAGTTGCTGGATAATTTTGCTGAGAAGGTGACAGAAGACCCTGATTTCCTTAACTTGAAAAACCTTTTGATTGTTCTTCGAGTGTATTCACGACTCAACCATGTTCCCCGAGTCCAAAAGCATCTGTAGGTTTTAATTTAAGAGTGCCTGATAAGATGTTACATAATCATTACAGAGTAATGTGTAGCAACTAATATTTAATTTTATTTGTGAAAGAGTTCATAATCCTGTTTCATTCATCTGTAAGGTAAATTGCTGTGTCTTTTCATATTTTTTCTAAATACGATTTTTTTCTCTAACTAAAAGACTAACGAGATTCTAGACTGACCAGGCTACTAAATCTGTTGATAGGTAGCTGTATCCTCAAAGTAAGAATCGAACACTAATGTTAGATAACACAAAATACAATTGTACAAGATAATAAAGATTTCTAAGTTGTTTGAAATATGTATTTTATGTAGCCTTTTTTGTGTACTGAGATACTTCTCCTTTTGGAAAAGGTTTTTTGAGACTCTTCATAGCTGCTTGAATAAGTGCCTGCCTCAGATTTCCAACACAGAACTGCTGAAGGCAGTGTATTCTCTTGGCATCTTAGGATATCTTCCCCACCGTGCACTTGATGAGCTGCTGCAAAAGGACAGCAAGGATGAACTTACACTGTCAGGTCAGACCTTACTTTGTCATGCTCTTGTTTTAAACAGGATGTCTGCCTGTGTATGTAATTTGTTGTAACTGTGTTAAAAGATTAGAAATTAAAGAACACAAGCATGATTAATACTAAATTTGAAGTCCTCAGGACAAAGCTATTGTAGTGATTGATCTGTGTGATCTCAGTCTACACTAGAGAATCAGGCTTATTATCTTGGGCCCCATGGTGTGAACAGTTTAATAATAAGTGTGCTCTTAAACATAGGACGTCTTAAACTTTGCAAACTAACTTTAGTACCTGGAGTCACGAGTAAAAGTGGGATTTGGAATGCTCTGAGTTATAATGAGGTCCTGGGAATGGTTGGTAGAAGAATTTGGTTTCCACATTACAATTTTATATAGCTAGTAGATTAGTCAAGTGGAATTTGCTGTGCTAGAACAGACTATAAATGATAATAAAATGAAAAATTCAGTGGGATAATATATTGTATCTAATATTTTTTTTATCCTTTTTCAGATGATCTTAAAGAACAAAAAACAGTGATGCTTCACTCAGTGAAAACATGTATGGAACTTGACAGCCCTTCTTTCACAAAGCCTGCATTTGTGCTGACTGAGAATTTGTCCTCATTAGTATCTCTTAATCTCAGAAAGGCTCAGGAGGCACTGATAGAACTTCTGGGAGATGAGAACATGTTTCGGCAAAACGTTCAGCTGCCGTACAGATATCATATTGGTATGAAGTGATAATACTGACTGTCATGTTATTTCTAATATGGATTTATAATACCCAAAATAATAAGATAGTAATAAATTTGCAGAGGGTGCAAGTGATTAAAAGTTTAACACTTTGAAGATACAGTCTTTTAACAAATGATATCATTGATTGGTGAATCTACTTTTAATGATGCTTCAGTTAAAGTTTTTGAGTCCATTTACAAAAGCTTTTATGATTTCTCTTGTTTACAAAAGCGCTTTGGACATTTTTCAGGCATCAGCAAGCAGATGCTAATTGTACCTAAATCCTATGTGGCCAGCTTTGAGAGAGTTGACATATTAGTACCAAATCATGTTAGAAACAAAGCCAAACAGCAGCTGCCTTTTTTTCTCTTTTTTCTCTTTCCTTCTCTTTTGTTCTCTTGTTTCTTCTCTGAAGGTCTGGCTAAGATTTAGGCTCTACTTTCCTTTATGAAATGAGATATGATTTCTTTTGGGTTCTCTTATGTTTTGATATTGCCTTTTTTTTTTTTTTTTTTGCCAGCCACCCAGCTTACTAGATTTTCTGTAGTAGTAGTAATTTTATTCCTAGATATTTCTAATGAGGAATTGGATTGTGGGAAAATCTGAGTAGGCATGACAGACAACGATTAAGAGTAGTTTCTTTAAATGATGATTTCACTCCATAAACTTAAATCTGCAGTTTCCAGAAACAAATTAATTTTTTTCTTGAGATGGGCAAGCTATAACTTTATATTCATTGAAGGGAGGGAAAAGCTATCAGTAATAATTCAATTATTAGAGAACAGCAATTAGAAACAGACCAGTGATGGTGTCTATTAACTTTTTCAAATTAGTGGTTCATTTGAAAACAATTGGAACAATTAATGGGTTCAAATGACAACGTTAATTTTAACCTCTTGCAGAGTTAAACGTTTGTTGTTTTGTTTTCAGATTTTGAAATCAGAATGGATTCAGACAGGAAGAAAGTGCTCCCCATAACTGCAACAGATGATCATCCTGATTCACGTGTTCAGAGGTGTCTTTTTGTGACTGCGTATTTTTTCTAGCATGCTAGTTTTATTAGCACATATCACATCTAGTTACTTCTTTGGTTCACTGATTTGAAGAAGCAAAGTAGATAACTCTGTTGTTATTTGTGCTCACTGGAATATCCAAAAGTTGCCATGACAGTGCAAAGCAACAATTCATCCAGCTTGATACCTTCTTCAAACACTTAACATTTCAGAGAAGGAGGCAGGAAACATCACAGTGATCTGATACTCTTGTAATGAATGCAGATAGCAATTTTTATAAAAGTATTTGTCTGATTAAACATTTGGTTATTCTCTCAAGTCTCAAAAATTTGCATCTCAGTGACACGTTATGGCTGTTAATTCTGCTACTGAAATATAATTTGAATAAAAAGGATCATCATATCCACATTTTAGGTGATTAATTTAATCTTGTGTAGAAGACTGACCTCTCAGTTACTGAAGCAGGACATCTATCATTTAAGTAATGCTTAAGCAGAATTGGTTAATACTTAACATTTATGTGCTGGATCACTGCACAGCAATGTATTTTGTACAGTTTGCTTTTTGATGAAAGGAGAGCTAGTGAATTGTAATTGTGTAAGAGAAATCAGTGTTCCAAGACATTTAGCTTTCCTCAACCTTCCAAATAGGTTGTTATGGGAGGAAGTAACTGATTCTGAATATCATTAGCATAGGATCAAAGTAAATGCAGAATCTCTTAAATTAATGGAGAACGTTGAATGATCTATTTCCTTCTCATTGTGGGAGAAGTGGAGATCTAAGTACCTAATTCTGCTGTAGGTGTATTTGGGTAGATGCTGTGTGTGAAGCTCATGGAAGAAAAGAGTCAAAATTACTTAAACCTGGAGAAGGAAGAATGACACATGTATTCTGCAGTGCTAAAGAACATGATCGAATCATTGTCTTATAAATGATTATTATTTGTACAGTGAAGTCTTCCCTACTTTCCTTGGTTGCAGGTTGGCTTTTCTGTTTGCTCCTGTGTCTGCCTTCTGTCTAGGTACAGCACACCCCCAGGGGAAGCTGGCAATGAAGAAGCGGCATCTAAATAAACTGGGCTATCACGTGATTCTGGTGAGAGGAGCCCTGTCACTGTCTCTGTTTCAGTCCTGTTAGCAGCACAGTGATGAGTGTGTTTGGTAGATCAGGCCTACAAAGCATGAAGGTTCACCAGGAATGGTGGGCTTCCTCCAGAGTGGTAACTGTGCATTATTTCTAGTTAGAAAGTAGTGGTACTGTTACTAGGGACAAAAGAGAGAGGACCTCTAAAAGACAAGCTACTGCTTACCATTATCAGTAAATAAATAGTTGAGAGAAAAAAATCAAGCCACGAATTGCTTTGTACCTGAGAAACCTGTGTGTCTTTGGCTTATTTCCCTGATTTTTATGGACTTAGAATAGCAAGATTATATAGATTTTTATAGGCTCAGTGATACAAGTGAACTTATTTTTAGTGAACAGCTTCCTGTGGTCTTCTCATCGCTGAGCGCTTAGTTTGTAGGACAAGGTAGTTTGGACAATAGAAATAATGTACCCTGTCCTTTTATTTTCTTACAGATCCAGAACAAGAAGTTTCAGGAAATGAAAAATGAAGATGCAGTTGAGTTTTTGAAAAGAAAAATTTATTCAAATGCTTTCTCTTTTCCTGAAGCAACTGTGTAGGATAATAATTAAAATAAACTAAGAATTTTGGGTCTCCAATTTTTCTTGTGTAATTACTGTAAGGTTTTTAACAGAAGAGAGAAATAGTTTTATATACAACTGCCTGCTCCACCATATTACTGGGTCAGAAAAGTTTGTCAATGAACACTTCCTGCTGATAGTGGGAGCTTTCTTTTTGTGAAGTGGGAGCAGATTTTCTTTAGTGACAGGAAATAATTGATCCAAAAAGTACTCTGACATCTATTGCTCTTACAATGTCTTAATTTAATCTGTATTTTGCTTCCCCTGCTGCGTGCCCTTAGTCAAAATTGTGTCTTCTCTTGAGCTGGGCCAGGGAAAAGATGTAACTGTTTCAAGTGCTGTTGGAACCTGGCCTACAGCTAAGCACTAGAAGGATTTCCTCTCAACTATGTAGTTCTTTATGCAGAACTATATAAGGTAAATCAGTAAATAACTAAGCCTAAGTGGTGTATTAAAAGATCCAGCCATGTGGAAACTTTCTGAAAAAATCAATCTTGCTCAGTTTTCAGAAGTTTAGGCCAGTAATGGTCCTATTTGCTGTGTGCTTTTTCTTTTGAACCCTTTGCTTCAGTGCCACTGTAATAGATTTTGATGCTTCTCTCTGCAAGAACACTGATCTGCTGTGTCCATATAAGCTCCACAGCTTATAAAAGCTATTAGTAGCTCCAAAGCAGTTCCAAGAGCTGTTGCAATACTCAGATTTGTTCATTACACCCTGTGCTGTATCTCCACTGACCTGTTATGAGTGATGCAATTGATTATGTTGGCAGAGCTCTAGAACTGCAAAGCAGCTTTGGACCTTTGATAGGAAGGAGCAGAGAGCACTGACACATCTTTTCTGTTCTTGGTAACATGTAACTGACCAAATTCATTTTGTTATTCTGGAGTTGCTCAAATTGCTAACAGCTTCTTGTTTCTGAGGTGTAATCAGATCTTTGCTCACAATTCTGCTGTAGCACAGCCACAGGCCCATGAGGGGAAGCAGGGAAACAGCAATACTTTCTACAGTGACTGTGTGCTACCTAACTGTGGTGCCCTTGCTTCACTTGCTAAGCTACAGGCACTGTGTTCTTTGTCTTCCTGCAGTAGCGTGGACACATGGTTAAGGTACTACAATGATGATATAAAAAAGGTATTAAGAGTAATGAGATAATGTGGAAAGAAACAATATGCTTAGAAATAGTCACTGCCCAAATTTTTGTGGAACATGTAGATAGAATATAGTGCATATTTATGAAGGAAGCAGTGCAACCAAAGCAGCGTGGTCACCTCTCTCTGGCATAAAAAGCAGAGAGCTGTTCAGCATTTCAGTCTCTGAAATGCAGCACATGCAGAAAAACAGATTTGAGGCAATTATAAAACTTAACAGCTAGAGCAGAGATAATTTGCTTCACTTGAGAAGTTTGTTATGCTCCCTTTTTGGATCTTGTTTAAGGAAGCACTGTCTGTGAAGCAGGCTGGCCCATTCTGAGCTGGACTCATGGTCCAAGCCTGCATGGTCCCAGGATGTCTGAAATATCCTTTGCTGGAGGGCCAGGTAGCACACAGCTGTGTTTGAGAAAGTACTCGGTGCTGTTCAAGCTGGAAACCTGCAAACCAAAACACTGCCCTGCCAGCTGTGGCCCTTGCCTGGGCTGGGGACCTGCTTCCTCCAGCTGCTCTGAGCTTTTCAGTCAGGTCCTCAGTCCATAGGTATGCAAATTCAGGGACAGCACAGGCAGGAGTGCCAGCAGCCTGGACAGAACTAACCACCAGTGGGCACAGAATGGCACAGCATGTTATTAAATTAGCTAATCACTATATATTCTTTCTTAAACACCCTGTGAGTAGGTAGAAACTTATATACAAGCAGTGTGGTAGTCTGCCATAAGGATCACCTTGCTTACTAAAGTTTCTTGCTCTATGCTCTCTCAATAATTTATGTCATCTACACTGATTCAGAGTTCCAAGCAGTATGTAGCTGCTGCCAGAAACTTCAGAGCTGTGGTTTTCTTGGATCTTTACATATGCTCAAAAACTAATCTGCTGAAAATAAATCCAGGTTTTTTAGGTATCCAATTCATGTAGTAAGGAAGATCTACTCCCCTGTTCTGTGCATTACATTCCATATTTAGAATACCATTCTCCTCCCCTGAATCAGTATTAAAATTAGTGGGAGACTCACAATGAAGATCAACAATAATTATTTTGTGTCTGTAATTATGGGGTTTGTCACTGCATGGAGTGTTTGGTGTGAAAGGTGCAAAACCCCTTTGTAAGCCAAACAGGTACAAAATGGATGATTTCAGCTGACCTGCCAGTGAGGCTAACTGGACATGTAAGCTGCATCTTTTCCTATCATTTTCACAGTCTTCCTGCAGATTCAGGAACATGTGTTTCTAACCTTTATTCACACTTGAACACTTCGTAAGTGCAGTGGCTGGAAATTGTATCTCAATGAGGAGTGAGAAACAAGACAGCTGTATATGACTTTATTTCATACAGCCCATGGATGTATCTTATGAATGGATGGAACCCAGACATTTGCTGTGATGTTTGACTGACTAAAGATATTTCAAGTGTGTATCGAATCTGTAGCAAGCTAAGGTTCCCAACTCCATGTGAAATGAAAATAGGTAATTCATTAAGTAAACTAAATTGCTGAAGCAGGGGAGGGTTTTCAATGAATTGAAGGCTTATTAAAGAAAGTAGGATTAGAGTAATTATATATCTATGACTTAAAGACAGGGGACTCAGCTGCACTAAGCAATCATCTATTTGACCAGACTCTCATAGGAAGGCACTATGTTTTATTCCTGGGCCACAAATAAATCAGGAAAGCAGAAGCAAATCTTTCCTTCGGGGCTATGAAATACTAGACTTCAGTATTTGTCTTGCCAATCTCAAAGAAATGGATACTGCCTTTTATGATTCCTGGTTTTTTACATGCTGCTTGCTGTTACATATTGTTTCATTCATTGATCTTGTCCTATTACAATACAGTAAAATGCCATGGTAAGACTGGATTATCTAATATATTTTTTCCTTGAGAATAATGCATGTACTGTTCATCCTGTGAAATCTCCACGTCATCAGAAGGTGATACATACAAAAGGGTGACAAGGTTAGATCATTGTCATATATCGCAGAATCAAAACATTGAGAGAAGCATTTACAAATATAAGTTATATAGCAAATTTCACAGGCCAGAGAAACCGTGTTAAGCATTGCAGGATGTGTGAACAGGTCTAAAATGAAAGCAAGAAACAGTCAGAAGATGTGGGCTGCAAAAATCAGGAAGGTTCTTGCATTAATAAAAAATAAACTGAGCAAAATGAAACAAATTCTGTGAAGTAGGGCAAAATGAGAACAGTGAGTCTTTGGAAAAACAAATTTTCTCCATAAACAGCTGGATTTGCAGACCCTGGTGATACATAGTTCTCTTCAGTTTGGATTCCTCATGTTTAAAACCACTTTTGAACCCTAACTCCAGCCTTCTCAGGGTATGAAGTATTCTGGCCACTTACTTCACAAGAAACATACAGGAACTCTTTAAAATTTCCATCTTGGTCTCAAAATGATAGTGATATTCGTAAGTGACTGGGAAAGACAGACTAAAAGTTCATTGCAAGAGTGTAATTTTTGTTAAGAAATCATAATCTAAATAAACTGGATCTTGATTTAAGGGCTGTTTCTCAGGTACTGTAACAGTTTCTGCATGGACAAGAGGTTGAGTGATGCTTTGTATGCAGAGACCTAGAGACGTGGCTCTGGTTAATTGGTAAAGTGAAGAAAATACTAAGACTTCCCTCTAACTGGCTTCACCCCCCCTCAGCCCCTCTGGTCATTGCAGTAAGTATTGTTGTATATTGCCATTTGTTATTATTGAGCTATTCTCTTGGCACACATATCAGTGCATGTAAACTTGCATGAACAAGGTTCCAGTTTCAATATCTCATTACTGACACTAGAACACTGGAATTAAAATAAAACTGCAGGTGTTTTGCAGAGCTCAAAAAAGGTGGAACATTCACTCCTAGGTGAAATATGCTGAATTTAATTATTTCAGAACAAAACCAGAGCCACAGTTATCTGATGGTTGTGATATGCATAATTTTAAAGGGACTGTGGTACTTAAGCATAGGTTTTACTGAACATGTAAATCTTGTGGTATGGGGGTTTTTTGCTATAGTAACCACAGTGGTTTTAATAGTTCTTCATCTCTTTTAACTGATGTGAATATAATGGAATTCTGAACTGTTTAAAAGCAGTCCTTCCAGTTGTAGCATGTTTCCCCCCTTTTTTCAGTATTTCTGGGCAACAACAGTATAAAGTGAAAATATATTAATGTGGTGGCAATTGTAAAGAGCCACCCAGAAATAATAAGAAAGAGAATTTGTATTTGCAGCAAAAGTACTTGTGTCTACAGATAACCAGTGAGCTTTTGGTTTCATCCTATTTCCTCTCTCCAAAAATGCTCCTATGAGTACTCTAGTAATATTGTTGCCATGGCACCTATTAAAACCTAGATAAACTCTTACTTTATGAAGCAAGATGAAGGTTTTTTATAAACAGGAGAATTTATTTTCCTTTTCATTGCTATAGGTAAGGGACTCTATTCATGCCTACACACAAGGTCATTTTTTACTGAACATTCCTGATCCTTGCCATAGTTTATTCTTACCAGTTCAATCCACAAAGGGCACTTCCGAAATCTCCTCTATTTCCCCATTTAATTTTCACGGTACAGATTCTGTTGCATATAAGATGTCACTTGTACTCGATCAGGGTTTAGAAAGGTGGGGAAGTATGTGGGGACTGGGGAAAGGGGGAGTGGCTCCTCAGCTGGTTTAGATTAAAGTCAGGGCACTACAGCAAATATACACCAGCTGAGGTAGTGGCTCTACAACTTCAAAGCAAAAAACTTCAAGTGTTAAGTGAGCAGAGTTTTCTCCTTCCTCAGTAGGGAGCAGCTGGTGAATTGGCCTCTGACTGCACAG